GACTTTTCATAATGCTATTAGAACTCGGCAAGCACAAAACGCCATTCGGAAGATAAGATGTAAGAATGGTAATATTGTTACTCGGCAGTCAGAGATCAAAGAGGAAGCTGAGAGATTATTTTCAGATTTTCTTAATCAGATTCCTGCTAGCTATTTTGGTACTTCTACTGATGAGCTAAAATAGTTACTGAAGTTTAGATGCACGGAGGATGATTGTAATATGTTGGAAGCAGAGGTTTCTGAAGAGGAGATTCGCAAGGTTCTATTTTCCATGCCTTCTAACAAGTTTCCTGGGCAGATGGGTTTCCGAATGAATTCTTCAAGATAACATGTCCCATTATCGCTCATGACTTCACGGTTGCAGTGCAATCTGTCTTCAAATATGAATTTCTTCCTAAAGCGGTTAATTCGACAATCTTGACTCTCGTACCTAAAAATAAGACTCTGTGGAGATGAGAGACTTTAGACCTAATGTTTTATACATGATGGTGTCTAAAATTCTTGCAAATAGGCTAAAGTTTCTTCTTTCGCGCATAGTTTCTGAGAACCAATCTGCTTTTATAGAAGAAAGACTTCTATTGGAGAATGTTCTATTAGCTTTGGAGTTACTCAAGGATTATCATAAAGATATTATATCTCCTAGATGTTTGATGAAGATTGACATCTCGAAGAAATTTGATTGAGTGCAATGGGAGTTTTTGCTTCATAGCCTAGATGCAATAGGAGTTTCTGATAGGTTTATATACTGGATTAAACTATGTATAACTTCTCCTTCCTTCTCAGTTCAAATTAACGGGGAGTTTGTTGGGCATTTTCAAAGTAGGAGAGACTTGCAACATGGTTTCTCTCTCTCCATATATGTATGTTCTTTGTATGAACGTGTTATCACACATGATTGATGAAAGAGAAGAAGTTGAAGTTTCATCCAAGGTGTAAGTCGCTCTCTCTCACCCAATTTTGTTTTGCTGATGATATGATGGTGTTTGTTGAAGGCACTAAAGAGTCTATTGAAGGTTAAATGTGTTTGATTGGTTTGCTAAGTGGTCGGGTTTGAGTATAAGCATAGAGAAAGCTGCTGTGTACATGGCTGGAATTTCAGTGGAAGAAAGAAACAGAATCTTGGTGAATTTCCCATTTGCTGAAGGTGTTCTCCCGGTCTGGTATCTGGGACTTCCTCTTATGACCAAAGTGATGAGAAACCAGGATTATTTGCCACTGGTGGAAAAAGTTAGAAGCAGAATCTGTTCTTGGACTTGTAGATTCCTTTCTTATGTTGGTCGGTTACAATTGGTCAAATGTGTCTTGATGAGCATTGTAAATTTTTGGGCTGCTGTCTTTAGGTTGCCGAGTAATTGTATGCTGTAGGTGGAACAACTTTGTGTTTCATTTATTTGGTCGGAGCCAGTGTTTAAATCCACAGGTGCCAAGGTAGCATGGAAGGACATTTGTAAGCTTAAGAGTGAAGGGGGTTAGGGAATCAGGCGCTTAAAGAAGTCAATAAGGTATTCGGTCTTAAACTTATCTGGAAGATGATTTCAGGTGATTCTCTCTGGGGAAATTGGATTAAAAACAACCTATTAAAGAAGAGAAATTTTGGGAGGTTAAGGAGAATAACAAGTTGGATTTTGGATGTGGAAGATGTCACTAAATGGCGTGGGAAGTCTGGTTTCAAAATCTCTTTCTCTACTTCTGAAACTTGGATGCTAATTAGAGAAACTCATACTTAATGCTCATGGGCTAAAAGTATTTAGTTTTCTATGGCTACTCCAAATTTTGTTTTCATGACTTGGGTAGCAATACTGGATCGGCTATTTACTATGGATAGAGCTTCTAAATGGAGTCGAATGATGCTGAGATTCGGAATCACTTATTTTTTGAATGTTTATATTCCTCTCAGTTATGGGAACATCTCATTAAAGGTATTCTGAGAAGTGATTACTCAAACTCTTTTCAGTCTATTATAGTGATGATATCTGCTGGTATTATGGACAACCAGCATTTATTATGTTTAAGATATGGTTTTCAAGCCGCAGTTTATGCATTATGGAGAGAACGGAACATAGTTAAGCATGGGGAGCAACCTATGGACATCCCTATTTTGAAGAAGCTTACTGATGAAGGTATCAAGAATGAGGTAAGTTTGGTAAGGCGGGATAGTAGGAGGAAAGGCTTTGAGGGGATTCTCCAATTATGGTTTCAAACAAGAGTATAGATGAGGAATAAGTTTTATCAAGAAATGTATACACTTGCTGTAAAAAGGTGTTTTTGATGAATAAAATTTGGCAATCATTCTAAAAAAAAAATGTGAGATTAAATTGACCAATATTAAGAAGTTGAGGATTTAAATTAGTCAAATGCAAATTCAGGTTTTGTTTTGCTTTTTTTATTTTAAGTTGGAGGTTTTTTGGTAGTTTTTTTATATTTAAGAAATAGAAAATAAAATGATCAAAAATATGAAGTTACATACATAAGTAACTTTTACATTTTTGGAAGCTCATGAACACATATTAATATTTAAAATAATTAAAATATTTTATAAATTCTAAATAATTTTATGCTTTAGATTTATTGAAATGTAAACTGAAATTATATTAAATAATTTAAAAATGATAATTTATATTTGTTTTGGTATTTTGATTATGGTTATATTAAGCGCCACATAAAAACATTAAAATTAAAAGCAACATTATCTAATTTTAATAATTAAAAATATAATATATCTACATCGTTCAAGTATTTAGTATTATGTTATTTTTTAAAAAAAATTATAATTATTTGATCAAAAGATGTTTATTGTTAAAATTTACTTTTAGTTTTTTGTTTGTTTTAATATCTCTTAAAATAAGCAGTAAAAAATGTGATTGAAACATATTATATAAGTAAAATATAATTTATAGATATATTTGATGTAGTTGAAAGATAATATAGTAAACTAAATATATATAAAAAACATTTCAATAATACTAATTATAAACTATTTTAGTCAATTTAACATATGCCAGTTTATATTACTTAATTATTTAATGTAATCATCTAAGAAATTATATAGATATATAAAAAAAATATTTATATTACTTTAAAAATATATATTTTTGTATTGCTTAAAACTCTGTTTTAAAATAAATAATATTTATTTTCTAATATCAATATCATTTCATATATATTTTTGTATTGCTTAAATTATGTTTTAAAATAAATAATATTTATTTTCTAATACCAATATTATTTGTCTAAGACACTCTAGATATAAAGAAAGTATTTTATTACTTTTGAAGTATATTTTTGTTATTTAAAAATATTTTTCTAAAATGAAATATTACTATTTTGTTAAATTTCCTCTTTAATGAAATTATATGATATATACATATATATAATCTTTCGAAAATTTGCTTTTTAAACTCTATAAATGTTTTTTATACGTTTAAACTAGTAGAAAAATAATCATTTCTTTAGGCTGAAGCTCAGATGGTGCATGCACAGAAGACATCACAATAGAGGGAGGTTACGAACATACCTTATTTGCATAGAAGAATGGTCGGTGTTTGCAACTTATTTGGAGGATATCAAGACGTTAAAAAGAATTTTTCTTAGCTCAGAGATCATCTATGTACCTAGAGCACAGAGCTCACACGCAAATAGTTTTGCACGAAGTGACAAAAAAATAATGGTCTTTTGTCGTTCACATAGATGCAAAGTTACCAGTTTGGTTTGCAGAGTGAGTATGAGACTGTTTAGATTGATGACAAAAAAAACTGTTTTCTTTTTTATGTATGTTATTTGGAAAATTTTTTTAAAAAATCTAAATAAAAAATCAATAATAATATTTAAATACAATATTTTTAATTTATTAAGGTTATTTTTAGGCCTAGACATTCGGATATTCAGTTCGGTTCCGGATAGGAACCATTCGGTTCCGGGTTACCGGATAAATCATTCTTATACCCAATAGGTACTTATGAGATTTCGGTTCGGTTCGTTTTCGGTTCGAATCCATTTCGGTTCCGGATACCCATTTAATATATAAATCAAATATAAATATACAGAATATATTAGTTAATATGTTAATTTAAATGGTCTAGTGTTTACACGCTTATATATAAGTCAATCCAACAAGAGTTCAAATCAATAAAGTGTTAATTTTATAAATATTTATCATATTTTAATATAGAAATACCATATATATTTATAATATAACAGAATATAAATAAAACATAACGTGGTCTGGTGGTAAAACTGTACTTACTCTTTGTATCTAACCTGGGTTTAAGTGTGTTTGATGTCATTTTATCTTATTTTTAAAAAACTTTAACTTATTTTTTCGGATATTCGGGTACCCGTTCAGTTCTCGGTTCGGTTCCGGTTCTTATTCGGTTTTTCGGGTATAGAAATATAGGAACCATTCGGATATTTAAGCTTTTTGGTTCGGTTTTAATTTTGGGTATTTTAGTTTGGTTCCGGTTCCAGTTTTTTTGCCCAGACCTAGTTATCTGTGTAATCAGAGTTGAGAGTTAAGGTGAGCGCAAACTTTGACACTTTGCTAGTCTGTTTTGACTTGGGCTTGGGCTAGATGGACGTATTCGACCGAGCAGTTTTCTTTTGTCAAACAAAACTGGATGGCCCATTTGGTCTGCATTTAGACATTTTGTGGGTCCACATAAGACGGAAGTCAGAACCAATCAGGAATCTCTTGCAGGACACTGAACTGAAGATACGATCTTCTTTTGTTCTAATGTTTAAAATAGTCTCAGCAGACGTCGACGTCGTATGGTTCGTGTAGCGGATAATGCCAAGGTCAATTCCGTAAATCTCGGTAACGGAACCTTCAGCAGCTTCTTTAATTTATCTTCTCTCTCTTTAAGGCTTTAAGCAGTTAGTTGCTCTTTTACGTCGCTACGAAGTCTTCTTTCCTTCCTTCACATACCTTACTTCTATCCCATTCCGATAAAAGCCCTAAATAACACTTCTTCTTCTTCCACTCGAGATCTCAAACTTAAAATCAAATGTCGTCTCCAAATCCATACACCAAGCATCCTTCTCCTCCGAGAAGCACCGTCGCCGCCCTGCCTTCGTCTGTCTCCCCCATCGGTGGAGGAATCTTATGTAAGTCAGTTCTACTCGGTATGTTTCTCCTCGCGTTGCCGTTGTTCCCTTCTCAAGCTCCCAATTTCGTTGGCGAGACTGTGCTCACCAAGTTCTGGGAACTGATCCACCTCCTGTTCGTCGGCATTGCCGTAGCTTATGGTTTGTTTAGCCGTAGGAATGTTGAATCATCAAATGTTGAGTTAAGGATGAGTTGTGTAGATGAGTCTTCCTTGTCTTATGTATCTAGAATCCTCCAGGTCTCCTCTGTTTTCAACGAGGAGGAGGAGGAGGAGGTAGAGAATCCCTGTAGTTTTGTCGATGTTAGGAGTGATAAGATTGCTCTAGCTTCTGTGGAAGAGAGGAATCAATCTGAATATGGTGAAATCAATCAAGTCCAATCTTGGAGCTCGCAGTATTTTCAAGGGAGGTCTAAGGTTGTTGTTGCTCGACCAGCTTATGGTCATGTTGTGCACCAGTCACTAGGCTTGCCTGTTAGGAGTCTAAGGTCGGCTTTGAGAGACAGAGACAGTGCAGCTCTTGAGGAGAACGAGAAAGCTGAGGAGGATTCATTGGCTGCTCCGTCTTCTCCATGGCATTCTAGTCCTGAGATGATTGGAATGGAGGAAGACTATAGTTCTAATTTCCAGCCTCTATCGGTTGATGAAACCCGGTTTACAACCCGCTCTTCTCGGTCTAGCGTTTCTTCACAAACTAGTGTTGAGTCTCATGATCAGAACAGACACTCGCCTTCTCGTTCTGTCTCTGGAGGGTCTTTAAACTCGAATGTGGAGGAAAAGAGTCTTCAGGGTTCATCACGGTCTAGCTCGCCATCATTGCCTCCATCACCATCATTGCGTCCATCACCATCACTGTCTCCATCACCACCATCTCCAGAGTTAGTGACTGATGAGACTCACAGGCGTGTCTTACATTCTAGGCATTGTAGTGATGGTTCTTTGCTAGAAGAAGGTGTAAGGCAAGGATTTGAAGATGAAGTCAGAGGTTTTAGTAAGAAGGAACCAGGATCTCAATCTCTTAAACTAACTGCTGAAAGTTCACGAAAAGAAAAGAACAAGTCTCGCAGATCTTATCCTCCTGATCTCATCTCATCACCTGATCATTCCACTACTGGAAGACGGTATCTTCAGCAGAAGAGTGATAGCCATTTGTTAGAGTCTGGCCATAACAAGCTGAGGGTCAAGAAGGGACGTAGCCACGACTCTTTGGAGTTAACAACAGTAAACTCTTTGGAGTTCCAACCAACGAATGATAAACCTTCAAGGCGTTTAATGCGTTCTTCACGAGGTGGCAGTGACAAAGACAACAAAAGAAACTCAGATGGTGATGATGACTCTGAGGATTATGATAAGTCTAGAAAGAGAGATCTTCCTGGTGATAACAAGGAAGTGAGATCAAACAACAGTCCGAGATGTGAACCGCAATCTCGGAGAGGTTCTAGTGAAGTTCCATCGAGAGGAAAGTCAGTGAGGACCATAAGATCTGATCGCAGCCATGGGGATTCATCTGATGATAGGGCGGAAAGCCATGGAAGAACAAAACCAAGAAGACAGTGGCAACAAGAACTAGCAATAGTACTACACCAGGAGAAGCATTCAGAGCCTGAAGATGATGATGATGATGATGTTACGGAAGAGACGGACTCCGAGGCAGAGCTACCTCAAGAAACCTTAGAGGAAGAAGAAGTTGCTGCTTGGGAAAGCCAGAGCAATGAGCATTACGAAGTTGATAGAAAAGCTGATGAGTTCATAGCCAAGTTCAGAGAACAGATTAGGCTGCAGAAACTTCATTCAGGTGAGCAACGTAGAGGAGGTGGCACTGGCGTTATCAGAAACAGACATTTCAGATGATACAACACTCACCATTGCTTCATTCACTTTGTATTGTTTATGTAATATTTATTTATCGGCATTGTTGATGAGAGTCTTCAGTCATCACTCTCTCTGTTTGAGGTTTATATTGTTGAATAAAATGATTTTTCTAACTGCTGACCAATGTATAATGATGATTGGAGTCGTGTCAAATCAGCTGTCTTTGAGTAATGACCAGAGGGGAAGGTTTGGACTCAAAGGAAACTCCTGGGTCAAAATTATAATAAACTAAAATTATAGGGGGTAAAGAGAAATTATCCATGAAATGAAACGGCAGCAGAAGAACAAGTTAGGATAACATTGGATGTTGCAGGAATCCTCCGGAGGGGGAAAAAAAACTATGCTGACGATTGTATCAAACCCTCTGTCTCTGAGACTTACACCTCTATGTGAGTTCTTGTCTCTCTATCTTCTGACATAGTAAGCTGGTTTTTAAGTAAGTTTAAGTTTGTTATGAGTTCTTGTAGGTGAAAGCCACGGGTTCTTGAAATATCGGAGTAAAATTTCGACTTGTTGTTCATTAAGTGAAGAACCAAAGTACCAAAGGTAAATATTTGTCTGATGGATGATTGTTCTGTTCTTTGGTTGTGCCATTTGTTGATGACAAGGTTTTTTAAAAGTTGCAGCTTGAGTCGGAGGAATCTTGTTTATGTTTTGGTTTCTTCACCGTGTTTGTTTCTGGCGTTACCTTCATCTGCGAAGACTAAATCAAAGAGCCCTTATGATGAGAGAAGGTTACTAGAACAGAACAAGAGGATACAGAGAGAGAACAATGCTCCTGATGAGTTTCCCAACTTTGTTAGAGAAGGTTTCAACGCTTCTTATTACATCTCTAACAAAACAGTTGTCTCAATTTTGAGTTAAGATTCGTCCTGAATAAAATACTTATTATTGTGTTTGCTGATGATAGTGCAGGTTTTGAGGTAAAGGTAGTAGCTTCAGATAATTACATAAAGGCTGATTCAGGCCTCATATATAGAGATTTCAGTGTTGGTCAAGGTGATTTCCCCAAAGATGGTCAGCAGGTACTTTCTCTAAATGTTAGATTAAACTCAAAGTTAGATCATTTTGGAGGATATGCTCAAACAAGCCATTGACTTATCACTGTATCTTGATAGGTGACTTTTCATTATATTGGATACAATGAGTCCGGAAGACGAATAGACAGTACTTACATTCAGGGCTCACCTGCTAAAATCCGCATGGGAACCAATGCACTTGTTCCAGGCAAGTTAAAATGATATGATGCCCTCTAGTGTTTGTATGATGTTAAAATGAAGAATCTTCTATGAAGTTGAAGATTAGTTTTTCTACTAATGCAGGATTTGAAATGGGTATTCGTGACATGAAGCCTGGTGGAAGAAGAAGAATCATCATCCCTCCAGAATTGGGACCTCCGGTTAGTTCCTACTTCCTATACTTTGCACTGCTGTTCTTGACTGTACATTGTTCTAAGCTATAAACATTTTTTTCTGAACCATTCATTCAATTGAGAATATACATTCATCTAGCATCAACAACTATTTTTTTTTTGTCCAAGCTTGAGCCTGCTCGTTTAGGACATATGTAAAATTGATGTGGATCAATCTTTTACCTGTCTCGTAATGTTGCTATCTTCATCATTTCAGGTGGGACCTTCGACCTTCTTCAGCTCGAAGCAGTTTGAAGTTTTTGACGTGGAGCTGGTTAGTATCCAGAATTGTGAGAGGAGGACAATAGGATTCTACTCAGATGTCACTTGCAATTAACTACCTCAGTCATGTTCACTAGTCATTACTAAAGCTTTATTGAATATGTATTCTTCGTTATTTTCTGAAACTGCAAAAAGAAACAAACAAACAAAAACTATATTTATCTTCTTAGGCTTTTGATCTTGTTGGGATTTCATAATAAGTTGAAAAATTACAGAGAGGTGTGTGTAGCAAGATCATGTAAAGTCATGACATATTCATAAACATAGTTATCATTAATTCCTTGGTTTTCTTGAAACACCTTTTAAGCATTTTGGGCTCGTCAAGTTAAAGCCCATCTATCTTCCAGCCCCAAGTTGATTCTTATCTTCTTTTAATTTCCTTGTTTTATATCTTTTAACCCCAACTTTTGGCACTCTTTAAGATTCACCCCAAACAATTAATTAAGTGTTCAAAGATACATTTTGATTTGGAACGGTAGATACTCAATGCTACAGACATTTTGATTTTGAAAATTCCAATTATGTGGATTTCATACAAAGACTAGTATTAACCCCATGCTTTGCATGCAAATATTTTTTATTACAAATATAATACAGAGGGGTAATTATACATAATACACATAGTTTGTAATAAACAAGAAAGAAAACGATTTTTCATATTTCAGATTTTTCAACCATTTTATAAAAAATACACATATCAAAAAGACTTCAAAAAGATACCTTATAAAAATATAAAATCATTTACAAATTCAATTTTCTCACCATTTGTTATTTCTGCAGTCAAGAGGATGTTCAATATTGAAAAATAATTTTCTTTTTATTGTGTGATATAACAAATTTTAGAAAGAAAAAATTTGTATAAAAAAACTGCAATAATATGTTATTGCTATTATATACTTATGTTAATTTTGTTTCAAATTATTCCATGACAACACTGATTTTGCTATCTTTAGCATTTTTATGATCATATTACCCTTCCAACCATATATGTACCATTTTTTGTGGATATCTGACACATTAAAACTATAGAGAAAAAATATCAAAAATTGCTCACCATAGTATATTGAATGATGTTTTCAATTTACTTTTTGATGCTCACATAAAGCTTTTTCTTCCATGTCTACATTTGTGTCTGGTTTTTTTTTTCGTTGACTTGGAAATGTTTTTATTTTCTTTTCTTCTCTCTTATTTACAAGTAGGATGAACTTATATAAAACAGTCAAAGATTAACAGTTTTATTTTACAAGAAAAAGAAGAAGAAAAAGATCAACTGCTTTTTATGAGATGATAATGGACTTAGTGGAAGAAGTATCAGGGTGTTTAGATAAAAGATGAATAAACATCATACACTGAAATCAACCAACAAAAGAAACTGTTTTTGTTTTCAATTTTTTTTTTCATTTGGGATTTTTTTCTAAATTATAAAATACATGTCTTATGTCTAAATTTCATTGGTCTAAGTCATTTGTGATTTAGTATATAAGGCATCAGGTGGAAACTGTAACTATTTGTAAACCGGGCAAGGAAATAGATTGGAAGGGTAAATCCCCTATATATTAATTGGGAAGCATTTTTTAAGTTACAACTTATAGTACAAAGCTGACGTGTCAGTCTCTCAGCCTTTCTCAGAGTGGACATTAAATGCTTTTTTTTTTACTAGAGAAGTACTTTGTGCGATGGACCAACATATATTATGTATGTATATATGTATATGTATATTTATATTTATATGTATGTGAATATATTAGACGGAATATATTAGACGGAAGACAAAGAACATCCCGGAGTAGATACCAAATAAAGCTAACTCCATTCTCTGTTATTTCAAAGATTGAACCAATCAATGAATCTTACTTCATTAGCCTAGCAAGCTTCGACAAAATTAGGATGGGTCTTTCTCATACTAAGTTCTGTGTTGGTATGTTTTGGTGTTGTGCTTCATGTTATATTTCCGTTGACGTATAACTAAAGTAAACTGTCTTTTGCTAATATATATGTATAAGTTTACTATTTCATTTTAAAAGTGTTTGGATTTGTAACGTAGATCTATGTGGAGCATTACTTTGTCTCTTCAGACTAGAGGAAATTGAAGATGATGAAGCTGGACAGATATTTGGTGCGCCGACCAAACGAATGCAGTTCTGGTTAATTAACTTTGGGTTTGTACTCTGTCTGTACTTATTAATATTCTATAGTTTGTGCATAACATTTTGATATAACGTGTGCAAATTTTATACCAACAACAGACACACTCCTCTTCAGTGTGTGGCTTATGGAAGTCTAGCAGAGGAGTTAGATCATTTTGTGTCTTCCACCATAGCCAAAATAGTGGTTTGTGTACTAAGGTTTTGGAGAATCGAGTGGGGTCCAGGTATGTTACAACTTAGAGTAAAACACAACGAAAGTCTCATAAATATTATTTAACAGAAATTTTTTTCCTTATTTTAGGTGGTTTCAAATTCATCACAAACACAGAAATTTCTCAGATTTTGTTTGACAAAGACATACCAGATATTAAAGAATTTAAGGAGAGGTAAGCAACAACATTTTAACAAAGTTTTTTTCGTTATAACAATATGAAATCGTGTCTAACTAATTGTTTTAATTGTCACTTTGTTTTTCTTATAAATATAATTTCAGGATTCCAAAGTCTCTTTCTTGAATGGATACTCAATTAGGAAGAAGAAACATCAGAGCTTTTTTATATGGTTTTTCGCTTATTATTCTTTTTTTAACACTGAAGTTTTTTTTTATGATTTTTGCTTTATTTTCCTCAATAGCTATCTATGTTTAAGGTACTCAAATTCTTTCTGCTGAATACTATTAAATTTTATTTATCTATTCAAGTTGTTGCTATTTCCCAATAATTAATCGTCCATCAATCATTTCATCAACCAAAATATGAAGTCAATTTCTGTCAATAATAATAACACTGACAATACTAATTGTATTAATATTACCGACATTAGCTAGATCAATATCAACCAAACATAATATACTATAACCACGACTATTTAATATGTCTATATAAAATTGATTAATTTTTTTATTTTAGATATACTATAACCACGACTAAACATAATATACATCCTATACATTATGCTATATTCAAATTTATTATAAATCTTTTACCCCGCGCACAGCGCGGGTTATCACCTAGTTAGTCATTGTTGACCTTGACAACACTAAACCTTTGGAGTCTCGCAGAAGGTTTTGACTTTCTTTTTTTCCGTAAAACCCTAAAGTCTTGTCGCCATCTTCTCTACTCTTTTTGCAAAAACAGAGTTGCAGGTCACCGGAAAATCGTCGTGTCCTCAGCAAACTTCTTCTTCTTCTTCTCCTCCTCCTGCTCTCCTCTTTCTTCTGGAAACCATCTAAACATGTCTTCGCTACGTAATGCTGTTCCGAGGCCTGCTCATAAGGAGCGTTCTCAACCGTAAGCTTTTCTCTCTTCTTCTTCTTCTTCTTCATTACTTTCTTTTTGGTAGTTTCTCTTCTTAAAGTTTGGATCTTTATTTAACTTATCAGGCAAGCGAGGAAGAAGTTTGGGCTCCTCGAGAAGCATAAGGACTATGTCATCCGAGCTAAAGCTTACCACCAAAAGGAAGATATTAAAAAGGTTTCTTGACACCTCATGCCTGCTTTAACAGTATTTGTTTAGTCTAAGGGATTGATCAATATTTGTGAAACAGCTTAACTTCCACATAGCAGAGTCTTGTCTCTCTTACATCTTTTTTTCTTGTTCTTGATTTTCTGCAGAAACTTAAGCAGAAGGCAGCATTCAAGAATCCAGATGAATTCTACTTTAAGATGATCAATAGTAAAACTGTTGACAGAGTTCATAGACCAAAGTTAGTAATCATATCCAAGTTTCTTTCTTTTTTTTTCTCTTCTCCGTTTCACTATGTACATTTGTTAAGCTCACGGGTTTCTCCTACTCTTTGATTGGTTTCAGGGAAGAGATAAACAAGTACAGTGCAGAAGAGCTCTTGATAATGAAGACCCAAGATATTGGATATGTCTTCCAAAAGTGGCAAAGTGAGAAAAACGTAAGTTATTATCTTTTCCTTCATTCTACAAAATGCAATAGCTTTCTGTTTATACAATAATTATTTTCCTTTGTAGAAAATAGACAAGCTTGCTGCATCACTGCAATGTACTGAGGACCAGCCAAGCAGTAGACATGTGTACTTTGCAGAAGACAGGTTACTCTTCGATATGAATGGATATACAAACTGTTACTTTTATGTTAGATCGTCTTCTTGAGTATTCTGTTACCTTATTAACAGTAGTTTGTACCACATTTGTATCTTATCAGGGAGGAAGCTAGAGAACTGGAGTTACAAGCTAGAAGCAAAAGTGATATCTCCGCAATAGCGATTCCTAAAGATATTAAAAAGTATGTATCTGAAACATACGTTAGATGTTTTATAGAGGTGTCAAACCAACAAGCGATACTCATCATCTTCTTCCATCTCTTAAAACAGGAAAATGGATAGATCATACAGAGATCTCGGGGCAAGGAAGAGCAGGGCAAAAGTTTTGGAGAAATTGTACATGGATATGTCAATGCAGAAAGAACTACAGGTGAAATGATATCATTCAGTCTCAAACCGTTTGACTGACTATATCTCTGATTAAAACTCTTTTCCTTGCGTAGAAAAAGGGTCAGAAACGTAAGCTACGTGAAGATGAGATACTAAACCCAAATGGCAAACCGGTTTACCAATGGAAGGCAGATCGTAAACGCTGAAGTAAAAAAACTTTCATGGTTGTGTAGTAGCTTCACATCATGTTTCTCTGATCTCTACCAAAGTTAGTTATATAACAGAGTTTTACTTTAGTTTTTTCGTCTCCAGAACTTGAAATGAAAATCTTTGGATGGGACATGGTTGTTGTGTTTAGCTCTTTGAAACATCTGGAGCTAATGCAGTTGAGAAACATCCAAAGATTCAGACCATTAATGATGTATTCCTTTAAATAGAAAGTTGGGGTTGGAAAAGAAGGTTGTTATTAATAGCAATCAGCAAGGTGTTTCTTTCTCTTGTGTTTTGCTTTTAACTTAAATATGCAAATCTTACTCAAATAGGAAAGTGTTATTTGATTTGTTATTTTGGTTTCTTTTTCGTTTTGTTAAGTAACGGAGAGATTACATGATTTTTAAGTTTTTTTAATAAATCCAAAATATTAAAAAAGAAATCCTCTCTTTGGCAAAAATCACATGTCTGGCACTCATGGTTTATGATTTTCTTTTTTGTTTGTCAACCATGGTTTATGATTATTTGTCTTTTTACTGGAGAAAATATTAAAAATTCTTAAATTATGTAAGAAACAGCATAAAAGCTATTGATTTGGTTGTTTATGAGAAAATCGTTACTATTAAAGTCGTATGACCCATGTTATGATATGCGTTATTACTACTAGCTAAAACATCGAATTAATCTTAAAATATCAGTTCTGAAGCCCTTTCTCAAAAAAAAAATATCAGTTCTGACCAATAAAAAATCTCAAATACCAAAAAACTATTAATTACTTACAAAAAAAATTATATAAATGATGTATTCACTAGAAAGTTATATACTTACAGACATTTTGAATTTAAAGACATAAATAATATTACTAAATAAAAAGAAAGATATCACAAGCTATTTTATATATTATTATGAACATGCTAGATACTTTATGGTTATATATTAAAATTTCTGTAAAATACTTTGATCTAATTAATGCCCTTTTTCAAAAAAAAAAAATACTTTGACCTAATTAGATTTTATAATTTAGACATATAAACTTTACTAACATATTTTTGATATAATCTGTATTTATTAGCACAAAATATATTTATAAAAAATCATGTATTTATATAATATTTGATGTTAGATACTACTAATTCACCATCAAAACTTCAAAATTGCATATCAAATAAATATAATAATGGTATGGTAAAAAATCTAATATAATGGAAAAGTCTGATTTACTTGATAAAAATTTGAGAAGAAAAGAGGAGTGGTAATTGGTAATATATAATGTACCGTGCAAAAGGAGGTGATTGATGCTCTCTTCTTACAATTACAATTTGGGCTATATGAGAGCTCTCCTCTTCTTTCAACATCCTCTCTCTCTTTCTTCACCTTCATTCCCCAATTCCTCAGATTCTTCATTTCTCTCGGTCTCTCGAAATAAATATTACACAAAGTTCTCCTCTTTTCTGTTCCAAAGGTGATTACTTTAACGTGTTTTGATTATGCCCTTTTTGCGTATTCTCGATGTTCTTAATGTGTTCATCACTTTTCTCTTGAATTATCGCCGACCCTCATCACTCTGTTTCCATTGGAGTATCTGTGTATTGAATTTGAATTGAAAGGCCAAACCTTTTTGTTTCTCTAAGCCCTCTTCGTTGCTTTATCTATTCGAGGGTTTTTGTTGAGCATATTGGTTTGTTGAATTTTAGCAATTTGGGATCTTAGTTTTGGAGGCCATTGGGTAATCTTAAATTTGCTAACTTGGTTGAGTTCCTTTGATCTCTTGTTCTTACAGGTCTGGATTTTGTAGGATCTCTATGGTGATGCTTTAATGTTTGCAGCTTTGAGAGGATCTGGTCAAGATATGAGTCGTAGGGTGCGTCAGAGAGTGGAGGAGAATAAGGTAGTTTCACCAAGTTTCCCTGTGACTGGAGATGATGAGGATTTAGCAGGCAAGGCTCAAGCCTATGTGGATTGGACTAGTTTGTCTTACGACACTGTGCTTCTTCTGTTTACTCGGTTGAACTATCGAGATCGAGCTAGCTTAGCATCCACCTGTAGGACATGGAGATGCCTTGGTGCTTCTCCATGTCTGTGGAGTTCGTTAGATCTCCGTCCCCACAAGTTTGATCTTTCAATGGCAGCTTCTCTTGCAACTAGGTGTGTTGATCTTCAGAAGGTTAGGTTCCGTGGACTTGACTCTGCTGATGCCATAGTTAACCTCAGGGCAAGGAATTTGCGTGAGATAAGTGGCGACTATTGTAGGAAGATAACAGATGCTACATTGTCTATGATTGCTGCACGCCATGAGGCTCTTGAGAGCCTTCAGCTTGGACCAGACTTCTGTGAGAGGATCACTAGTGATGCTATAAAGGTTATTGCCTTTTGCTGTCCTAAACTTAGAAAGCTCAGGCTTTCTGGAATGAGAGATGTTAACTCTGAGGCAATTGAGTCTTTGGCCAAACACTGTCCACAGCTCAGTGATGTTGGATTCTTGGATTGCCTTAACATCAACGAAGAAGCAGTGGGGAAAGTGGTGTCTCTTCGCTACCTCTCTGTTGCTGGGTCAATAAACATGAACTGGAGAATTGCAACAGAGAACTGGGAGAAGCTTCCGAGATTAACCGCTTTGGATGCCTCCAGAACCGCCATTGACCATATATCGGTTTCCAGGCTGTTGAAATCATCTCAAAGCTTGAAAGTTGTGTGTGCTTTAAACTGCCCTTTGCTCGAACATGATGTTAGTTTCAGCTCCGATAGGTTCAAAGGAAAGCTCCTGATTGCTATGTTTAACAATACTTTAAACGGTCTAGCTTCTAAATTTGACGATAACTCAAAGATGCCAAAGGATATATTTGCTTACTGGAGAGATCTGATAAGCAAGGATAAAAGCATTGACGAAACAATGCGTTGGATTGAGTGGATCATTTCTCATTCTCTTCTACGAATGGCGGAGAGCAACTCTCAAGCATTGAACAGTTTCTGGCTGAACCAGGGAGCTAAGTTGCTTCTCACGTTAATGCAAAGCTCACAAGAGGATGTCCAAGAGAGAGCAGCAACAGGACTTGCGACTTTCATTGTTGTGGATGATGAGAATGCTAGTATAGACTGTGGAAGAGCAGAAGCAGTTATGAGAGATGGAGGTATCCGACTTCTTCTAAAACTTGCGAAGTCTTGGCGTGAAGGTCTTCAATCAGAAGCTGCAAAGGCTATTGCAAACTTGTCGGTAAACGCTAATGTTGCAAAGGCTGTTGCTGAAGAAGGAGGGATCATTGTTCTTGCTGGTTTGGCAAAGTCTATGAATAGACTTGTGGCTGAGGAAGCTGCGGGTGGACTATGGAACCTCTCTGTTGGAGAAGAGCATAAGGTATAAAGAGTAGTTAAAGACACTTGAACCTTTTGCTCTCTAACTAACATTGTTATTTATTTTTATATTAGAACGAAATTGCTGAAGCTGGAGGAGTGAATGCATTAGTCGAGCTTATCTTTAGATGGCCAAATGGCTGTGATGGAGTTCTGGTACGCGCTTGCCACCTTAAAGACCTCACACTTTTGATTTAGAAATATCTAAAACTAATACTTTGGTCACACACAGATTTATATTTGTTACTAAAAGGAGAAATCTACCTTGTTCTGTCTTGATTAGGAGCGTGCTGCTGGGGCATTAGCTAATTTAGCAGCAGACGATAAATGTAGCACGGAAGTTGCAAGAGCAGGAGGTGTGCATGCCTTGGTGATGCTAGCTCGAAATTGCAAGTATGAAGGAGCACAAGAGCAGGTACTTCCTTGTTCTGGAATGCACATTGTTATTCTTTTTTTTTCTTTTCTAAATTGTCTCTATGGAAGTGGTGATTCTGGTAATGGATGCTAGAGATTGTCTGAATTGGGTTTGTGTTAAATCGTCTTTTTTGTTTTCAGGCGGCTCGTGCTTTGGCTAATTTGGCTGCTCATGGAGATAGCAACAATAATAATGCTGCTGTTGGACAAGAAGCTGGTGCCTTAGAAGCTCTTGTTCAGCTGACGAAATCGCCTCATGAAGGTGTTAAACAAGAAGCTGCTGGTGCTCTTTGGAATTTGTCATTTGATGACAAGAATCGAGAATCCATTGCTGCATTTGGTGGTGTTGAAGCCTTGGTATTATTATGTTTCCTTTTCTTTCTTTATTTAATTATTTTCATTTATGTTCATCTTCAGGAAACTTATCACTTGTTTCTGATTATATATATAATAGGTGGCACTGGCCAAGTCCTGTTCAGATGCATCCACAGGTCTGCAAGAGAGAGCAGCTGGTGCTCTTTGGGGTCTATCAGTCTCAGAAGCAAACAGGTGCAACCATTTGAACTCTTATTAATGCAAAAGTGATTTACGTTTACACCTTTATGATAATCTTATAACTTTTTGGTCTTTCTCTCAGCATTGCAATTGGACATGAAGGTGGTATACCGCCTCTAATTGCTCTTGCAGGATCTGAAGCTGAGGTAAAAAAAAAACATTTTGTTTCCTCATAAGCTGTCATGTCCTCTGGTCTTTTGGGTTATGACTTATAATCTAATCCATCTTTTTACCTTTTTTCCAAGGATGTACATGAAACTGCTGCAGGAGCTCTGTGGAATCTTGCTTTCAATCCTGGTAATGCCCTCCGCATTGTGACAGAAGGAGGAGTTATAGCACTTGTTCACCTCTGTTCGTCTTCTGTTTCCAAAATGGCTCGTTTCATGGCAGCATTAGCATTATCATACATGTTTGATGGAAGGTACTCCAAAGCTTATAGAAATCACAACCATATTCAAGATACATTCCTCTCTATTATTCCTAATCTTACCTTATATACACAGGATGGATGAATATGCGATGATAGGGCCTTCATCCGCTGAAAGTGCATCTAAAAGTGTTAGTTTAGGTGGTGCTAGAACAAAGGCTCTTAAACACATTGAAGGTTTCATTACAACTTTCATGGAACCTCAAGTCTTTGCAGCTGCTGCTTTATCATCTACTCCATCTATGTTAGCACAAGTCTCAGAGAAAGTTAGAATCCCAGAAGCTGGTCACTTGAGATGCAGTGCTTCCGAAATTGGAAGATTTGTTACAATGCTGCGAAACCCTTCTTCTATACTCAAAGCATGTGCAGCTTTTGCGCTTGTTCAGGTACATAACATATATAAGTTTTGTGTGTGTGGTTTTAACTTTTAAAACAGTTGCAGTTTGGTACTAACCTATGGAAATGCAGTTTACAATACCAGGAGGTCGACATGCAATGCATCACGCAAGCTTAATGCAGAACGCTGGAGAAGCGAGGATCTTGCGCTCTGCTGCAGCAGCTGCGAATATGCCTCGTGAGGCTAAAATATTTGCTAAAATTGTGCTTAGGAATCTGGAGCATCACCAGGCAGAATGTTCAAAAGGAAAGAATAGGATTTGAGAGCCTTTGTTTTATTAGCATATTTGTTTTAGTGAATCGAATGTATCTCTCCAAACCATACAAGTCAAGACAAAAAGGCATAGAATCAGACTCATGCTGCAAACACACAAAACCATCAAGATTTTTGGGTCTGAGAAGATGTGTTTGGACAAGGTGTTGTGATATATACATATCTGTGAACTTATTATGTTTATTTATCTCCTTCTGAGATATCTCTCTGTAATAAGAGACCTTGGGGATTATTATGATCGGTGTTCTTCATCCCATTTGTACGCTCTGTTAATTTCTTGTGACATTAACAAGACAAGAGGGAGAGAGGTTGTTAATTATAATAGTAAACCATGGCTTTGTTGAGTCAGCATGCCTTAGTATCCTCCACGTTACAAAGAAGCTCTGCTTCTCTTTTGGTATTGGTGATGATAGGGTCTGCTCCACCTAATAGGCTAGTCCAAACCCATTCTTGGTTTATAAGATGGTTCACTATGCACTTGTAACGTCATCTTGGTGCGTGTTCAGGCTGTGCTACAAGAATGTTGCAATCTCTGGCTTGGGAGAAGATGCAAAATCTCTGCTATATAATGAGATTACCATCATATTTGATGGTTTAGGAATATTGTGAAACTACCCAACCAAAAATTGTCTAGCTTCATCCGTTCCACTCTCGCATACTTATCTCCTGAAACCCATTAATACGGACATCTAGTAATAAGTTACCATCGAAAGAAAATAGTTTTAAGCAGAGGGTTACATGTACGTCAAGAAATTTCCCACCTTGGGATGAGAGTCTGCCCTGACTGTTTGGCTAAACAGGCTCTTTATGTAATAGCAAAGATCAAACAAAGTAAGAGAAATATATTGTAATGGAAAGATCAAACCAAAAGTTACCATTTAATGTGTGTTCTTTATTAAGAGCCGAACAAATCTAATCAACTATGAGTTTTCCTCACATAAGAGTAACAAAGTTACAAGCATCAAATGGAAGATAACAGCAACAGTAGACGTCTTCCACATATTAAAATACATACCAGTTAATCAAGAAGAAGAATAATACAAAAATAGAAGAAAAAAATGAAGATATAAAAATTAATTTAACCAAAAAATGAAGATATAAAAATTAATTTAACCAAAAAATATTAAAGAGTCTTAGATAGTGTAGTTGTTGCTGTTAGCATCATCAAGATCATATCCCTTCAACTTTGCAGCTGATTCAACTTTCCCCTTCAATGTCTGAAGCTCTCTCATTCTGCAAAATTCATCAGATAAATAGAACATGAGAGATCATCATCTCTAAGATACATAGTCAAAGACTAACCCTCTTTATCAAAAACCTAACCTTGCAATTTCAGCTCGCCTTTTAGCTTCATCAGCCAAACTGTTAAGTTCCGTTGCACCATGCATTGGCTTCTGACCTGTCTCTAAACCTTGCTGTGTACGCGTCTCGGTGGCCCATGCAGCCATACGTTCGTCTTTCCCAAAATTATTCTTGCCAGTGAGTGCAGTCTGGCAACAACAAATCAAACTTGTTGTCATTGTGAAGTATCAAATTTTCAAAGTGAGAGAGATATGTATACTTACCCTTTGGTCGACCATTTGGTTCCAAGATTGGCCAGTTAGAGCATAACGGACTAGGAACTTAATAGGATCAAGTAACAAGTATGTTACTATGTTGAACACCCATATAACTCCAGTCCAACCCCATCCAATGCTTCTTATTCCAGCAAAAGGCCATGTTGCCATTGCCGCTATCACCGATGCAACCTTTTAAAAATTTACAACTACATTCTATTAACATTACTACAAATGAAGAAGGTAAGAGCATGATATTTGGTGGATTCTCAGAGTGGGGATCTTATATCTTATTTAAGAATCAGTTATTAGTTTTTCTTAGTTAAAAGTTAAGAGACTTCTTATATTACGCTAAGAACCCCCAATAATTATGGCCTTAGTTAAGGTAATGAGATAGATTTTTGGAGGAAAGATCCCACACCGGAAAAAAAATGACTAAGTAGTATATAATGGATTTAGACCAGTCCAATTATCGCCATTTAGTTTTACGTTGGAAGATATGAAACTTAACAAGATGAATAAAATATTTTTTACCAGCTGAGCAATGAGGAAAGCAATCACAAGAAGGATTCCAGGACGTTCAGCAAATGACCAGCTTCTTGAACGGGTCACGAAGATCAACGCTTGGCTGATGGTGCTGACTTGAAGGTACACAGCAGAAGCCATCTGTTCATTCAAGTGTGCAGCCACTGCTTTGTCTTTCATGTCGAAGTGGTGCTGGTTTAAGTTTCTCACATCGAAAATATTCTACCACATAAAAGAAGATACTATTGTGATGTACTGTTAGAGTCAAGACCAAAGGAAAGAGATAGTGTATATAAGCTTACGGGGAAGAAGTTAGTTTCATACGCAAGCCAAAAAAACACAACGGTCATGATAGCCTGGTAAGTTCCAAGGACAACACCAGTAGCAAAAATCTCCTTGAGTTTCCAACAATCTGGAGTTGGAGAAGGCTTGACTCTGTCCTTTGATATCGTCATTATAGTACCTTTTCAACAACAGTGTAAACTTATCAAACAACAAACTTAATTCATTAAGCTGAATCTCAGTAAATTTAGCAGTCACTAACCATCATTAAGGATTGCAATAACAAGAACCATGAATGGAGGGAAATCAAACTCCCAGAAGCAACACAGAAGCATGAAACACATCTGTAGCATACAGAAAATGTGTGTTATTAGATGGTGTGTAAGACATTAGTATACGGTGTAGAAACTTACCACAACACGTATAGTGATAGAAACAGCATATATCTGCAGAATGAATCAATCAAAAGTGATTCATTTTAAGCTTTATGAGGTTACAAGTCAACGAAGCTGAAGAATTTTATGGTACCGTGTAATTTTTCATTCTCTGGAAGATGGCACGGCTAGTCAAGACAGCACTGATGATAACACTAAGACCAGGTTCTGTTAAGACAATATCAGAAGCACTACGAGCAGCATCAGTAGCATCATCCACAGCTATTCCAATATCAGCTTTCTTCAATGCAGGTGCGTCATTCACTCCATCACCAGTCATACCGCATATGTGTTTTCTAGATTGTAATCTCTTCACAATCTCATACTTGTGCTCTAAACAAAAACAGGACAAAAAAGGATGTTTTGTTAGATATCACTTAAAAGATCATAGTTACTAGCCTTGGGGATTTGAACTGAACCAGCCGAAACAAACCAAAAATTTTCAGTTTTTGGTTCGGTTCTAGTTTCGAGTTTGGAGGACTTTTGAATATGGTTTGGTTTTCGGTTAGTTCGTTTCTAAATTAAAAAAAAAAAAACAAATTATCTAAATTTAACCTGAATAATCGAACCGATTTAACCGCACTCACTGAAAATATTCTAATTTAACTGAAAATATCCAAGTTTTTAGATAAATAAATCAGAATTTTACCGAACCGAACCAAACTGAACTGATTTTTTTGGTTTACTTCGGTGGAATTGTAGTTAAACCAAACTAATCGAAACCGAAAATACCCGACCAAATAAACATAAGTATCCGAAACAGCAAGGCTAATAGTTACAAATGTAGAGTAGCTTACCAGGAAAAACTCCTGCAAAGCCATCTGCGTTCTCAATAAGTTCATCGATGGAGATTGCTTCTGTGTGGTTATCAGACAGCAAAGATGAAGATGGGTACATGTTTGTTCCCATTCCAAGTCTTCTTCCTGTTTCTTTAGCAATAGCAAGCTGGTCACCTGCAAGTATTTTGATGTTGTGACACTTTATGAGTACAGATTGAACCCAAAGTCAAGAGTATGACTATGAGCTAAAGACAAGACATGCTTTGTACCTGTGATCATCTTAACACTGACTCCAAGATGAAGTGCTCTCTCAATAGTTTGTGAACTGTCATGACGAGGAGGATCAAACAGAGGAAGAAGAGCTACAAAGTCCCATGGACCACCTTCACCTTTAACATCACCATCTGGTACTTGCTATTATTCAAATGAGAAGATAACCAATTAAAGAACAAACCTACAGTTTACTTGTGAAAGAAGTTAGGTCTGTCTCACCTGATATGCCAATCCTAGAGATCTTAGACCACGTTCTGCGAATTTGTCTATTGCAACATGTACCTTCTCCTTGATTTCTAATTTATTGTGTGCCATATCCAAAATCTAGAGAATAACAAGAATACATTTCAGCAAACAATGAGTGGATATTAAGGTGATGTCGCATAGCTATTTATAGTAATTAACCTCTTCAGGCGCTCCTTTGCTCACACGGTGCATGTTGCCTTCTCCATCAAGGTATGTTAGTGCAGTTCTTCTATTAGCTGGACTGAAAGGAAGAAAATGGAGTTCTTTGATTCCTGCACGTGCCTGGATACAAAGTATCAGATCAATACATCATTACAGCTTAGTGGAAGTTGAGTCTTTAGTACATACCTCTTTCGGATCTGACAACATGGAAACGATTGCAGTATCAATAGCATCTTGGTTCTCCAAACGTGCAGCTCTTGCAGACATAAGCACAGCCATATCTCTGTCAATGCCTTTCTTGAAAATCTGCAACACAAGAGATAGAAAGTACTATTATTATTACATCATCATCAGTAACTACAGAGTAAGTAGAATGTGAGTAAAGATGCAAACCTCTATGAGATTCTTGTCCACAGAAAGCTTGTTAAGCGTGAGAGTGCCGGTTTTATCACTGCACAGAACATCCATTCCAGCCATTTCTTCAATGGCTGTCATTCTCTTTGTAATGGCACCCTGACGTGGTTTACAAGTAAAGTCATTACACAATGACAACAAAAGTTTAAGTGACCTCTTGTCTTAAAGAGTTGTGTTTGACCTGTTGAGCCAAGCGATGTGCACCAATAGCCATTGTGACAGAGAGAACAGTGGGCATTGCAATGGGGATCCCACCAATCAATAAGACAAGAAGATTATCGATACCCACACGGTAACCTCTCCTTTGTAGACCGTATATAACAACGATTTCAATGGCCATTCCTACAGCAATGGAGCAGATACAGAAGTTTCCTATTGCTGTCAAAACCTGGAGATCAATGTACAAAGTTTCTTATATTAGTCATCAACTGTCAAAAAACCTATGGAAAGTTTTGTAGTGAAGAAACAAACCTTCTGGAAGTGACCAACATGAGTAGTACTGTCCACAAGATGAGCAGCCTTTCCAAAGAAAGTGTGGACACCAGTGGCTATAACAACTGCTTCAATTTCACCTTGCTTGCAAGTTGAACCAGAGAATACTGATGTACCGGGGTTTTTGGTTACTGGAAGAGACTCACCAGTAAGTGCTGACTAGAGAAAAGATAAAACATGTTCCAAGATTAGTCCAAAGAAAGAAAGAAAGAAAGCTAATGACATCATCAAGAAGCAGAACTAGCCTGGTCTATCTTTAAAGGGTCTCCTTCAAGAAGACGAGCATCAGCTGGAATGATATCTCCGAGTTTGATACTAACTATATCTCCTGGAACTAACTCAGATGCATCTATCTCATTCCATTTCTTGTCACGGATGGCCTAAAACAATATGATTAATAAGAAAGGCTACTACCATCAAATGAAAGCAACACAAAGGAAATGTACCTTGGCTTTAGGGGCTAGTTGAGCCATGAGAGCAGCTGCTGCATTTCCTGCATTGTTTTCTTCTACAAAACTGATTGTTGAATTGATCAAAAGTAAGACCACAATACCCACAAAGTCATGATAATCCGGTGGCTTGCCCTGAACATTTTGAGACAAAATTAGTTGTGTTTCACTAGAATCTTAAGGATGTATTGTTTAACCAACGAAAAATTGGTCTAATGGCTAAATTTCGTAAATTATCTAGTAGATGTCTAAGGGGTCATAGGGTTCAAGTCTCATTAGGAGGGTCTCCTTTGAATTTAAAATGGTTTAGGTCTCTCCTTAGGGGATGTATAAGGGGTCATGCGGGTCAAGAACTTTGTTGTCATTAAAAAAAGAAAAGGAGAGGGAGGAAAAGACGTACTCCTCCATGTGCAAGACCAATGGCCATGAGGGCTGCAGCTTCCATGACCCATGAAAGTGGATTCCACATGAACCCCAAGAACTTGAGTATCTTACTCTCCTGCATAATTAACCAAAGAAAATGAGAGATCAACATAACTGAGAGCATGGGCGGAGGCAGAGAGTAATATGTGGGGTCACTTGACCCCAGTACAATTGGGTAAAAAAAAAATTTAATGTACATTTTTAAAATATTATTGTAATATTTAGTTAAAATTTGATATTTGACCCCACTAATTTATGTAAAAATTTTCATATGATTCCATTAATTTGTAAAAAAAAAAGTTTGTTATAATAATATGTATATATATCTAATTCAAATATGAAATTTACATATTATGACTCCGGTCAAAAATATTTCTGGCTCCGCCACTGACTGAGAGAAAGAGAGAGAGAGAGAGAGAGAGAGATTGCTTCAAACCTTTTTCTCCTCAAGTTTGTTGAAACCAAACAAGGTAAGACGCTCCTGCACTTGCTTGGAGGTCAAGCCTTCTTTCGTGCATTTTAGATGTTGAAAAACCTCTTCAACGGGTACATTTTCCTGCAAGGCAACGATCCATAAGAAAAGCTATCCGAACCCAAAAAAAAGGTGGTGAGGTACAAAAAATATATACCAGATCAATGCTCTCCGTGATAATAGCCTTGAGAGCTTCTGTGTCCGTCATGTCTAACTTCCTTTTTGCTTGAACCGGAAGAATCTAAAACTCAGTTATGTAATCTGGAATGGCAAGTTACTTTAATTTATTCACCAGTGTACGAGATTAGACACTTTCCTTGTCTCTGAAGACATTACAGGGACACTTTTCTTAATCATAAAGCATATCTTCTACTTGTATATTCTTCAGCACAAGCAGACTCTATGTATTAGAATTTCATGCATACGTGATGAACCTAGGGCAAATGTGTAATGCAGGCAATAAATAAAGAAGACAGGAGGGTTCTATATAATCATAAAGTTCAAAGATTTGACAGCCAAATTAAACAAAGGCAGAATGGAGCTGAATGAATCAAAAAAATGATATTCAACTCTACCTGACATAATATATTTACCATAAATTAATAAAATAAGGAAAATAAAAAATGTGAGAAAGAATATTCATTTACCAATGTATACATTTGAAGACGTAGAAAGGATATACAAAGGCGTAGCGTCTCTCGTACTGGCCTTAAGGTAGTAACAAATCTAAACTAAACCTAATGTTCCTTAGGTTTCTTCTCTTTATCAAGATTTGACCTCCTTAATTAAGAATCTTAGATGGTAACTCTCGTGCTCCTAGCAATCAGGAGAATAAAACTTCTCAAAAGTCAAACGAATCTGACTAAAATGTTGATTACACCGATGTTTAAGGTCATTGACCTCTGCTTTTGCCTATTGAAAAATGTTGGAGGGACACACAAAAACACACACACACACGTTAAATAGTTCAATCAAAATTCCTGATTTTGCCCTCCTCAAGGTTGCCTTATTCGCAAGTATTTAGCACACACAAAAGGGTTCTATTCTTAGAACGTGTAATAAAAAATTCTCAAAATGTAAACTCTATAATAAACAATGCAAGATAGTGGTGATCCATGGTGTTTGGGATTGTTTTTTCAACGCTAATCAGGATATTTCGAGATCCCTTAAGAGCTTAAACATCGTCCATTAAATCAAAATAAATAATTAAAAATATATAAGAAGTTTTGACCATATAATTCTTCAGAATTCAAGAAATATTTAGTGGACAATAACAATTTAACCGGACGTCCTTTCGAAAAGTTTCTTATTGTTTACTTAAGTTCTTAGATCAAGAGTCCATGGACGTATTAACCAAGAAAGGTATTAGAATAAAAGGGTGGAATTGTTGCACCTTGTTAGAGTGACATCATGCAAATGACTCAAGAAGTATCCACATGCATCAGTAATCTCAAAATCCAATCTTCAGATCAGAAAGTTGTCAACATAAAGCCTTACATGGTCTTGTAGTTTCTTTCCCACTGAAAGCTACCGCTTCTGACTTTGGAGCTATAGATTCTAGTTTGAACCCACACTAGCTGATATGTTTGTTGGGTGTCACTCGTGAACTGGTCGGTCAACCAAGCAAACTAAATCAGCCCTTCAAATATGAATGATACATGCATGCATCTAGTTATGTATAAATAAACCAATTGAGACGTTTTAAGTATATATATACTAGTATAGCATTACGCTCTGTAGAAAAGCATAGTTTATGTTACTTGAAGAGGCTCTGTCTAAGAACTGAAAACCACTAACAAGTTCTGAGCTTAGTTTGGTTCAATTTTTCTTTCTTTTTTTTCTTTTGGGGAGGGGGGGGGGGGTGCAAATATAGAAAGGAGCACTGTACAATTGTGTACCAATATTTCTAACTTTATATGAATGAATCATTTACGCAAATGTAAAATGTATGTTCAATATACTTATAAGAAAACCCACATATATTGTAATGAGTGCGCATAAGTGTTATCGTCGATTGTTTGTTTTGTAGTTTTGGCGACCAAGTACAAATATTCATTAATTTATTTGTTCAACTAAGATTTATAATGCTAATTAGTTTGGTGTTACAATTAGCAAGAGTGGAACAGAGAGGAGAAAGATCATTAACAGAAGATTGTGGACACCTTTTCTTTTTTTCTTTTTTTTTAGATTGTGGACAATTTCTTAAAGCGCATGTACAGAAAGTATACGCAAACTTATCACCATCATCATGTGTTTATAATCTTGTAAAAGAGTTTTGAATTTTCTTTTTTCTTTTTTCTGGTTCTGCTATTTGAAGAAGAGTCATGGTGTAGTGTAACAGAGCTCGAAGCAGTGCAGTATTGAAATCGATTATATAGAAACCCAACCCAGGTCATGGAAATTAATTAAAGAGATTTGATTGAATAATAATTCAAGTCATGTAATCATGAACTGATGATTCATATAGCTTAGAGTCTTTTGTAAGAAAAGAAGAAAACACACATAGATATATATATATCTTAAACCGGTTTAAGAAAGTCTTATTTTAGTTATTATTATAGGCTCTCACTGAAAGGCCCATTGATTCTCCTGGCGAATCTTTTCTTCGTCGTCTGGTGTCAAATCCTTGACGATCTTGAACTTGTCGCGAATCTCGTCTGCGTCTTTGCACGCTGCGATCATATCAGCAACCCTCTGGCAAGTGAGATCAAGCAGGCTTGGGATGTCCAGGTAGCTGGAAGCCTCGATGAGATCGATGATGGTGGAGTTCTTCATTTCCAAGACGAACGCGGCGTCCCACTTCTTGCGTTCTTCCTTCTCGGAGTCAGAGCAGCCAACATCATCTACGTGCTTCTCGCAGTACTTGATCACTAACCTGAGGATGCTGCCGGAGACGTTCGCAAGCGGGATTGCAACGGTGGTGTCAACGCCATCTTCAATGAGATTTGATATCAACGTCGATTGGAGTGCGAAAGCTTCGTCGACCTTGAACTTTCACCATCAGAGCTCTTCAACATAATCTTCTTAGTCGACATCGTTTACTTCTTGTTATGCAGAAAAACAAAGAGCGATGGTTGGTCTATTTATATACGAAACCTAATTCTGAGATTTGCATATTTTTATTATAACGAATCTATCTAGTTACAACAGTCAGTCAGAGGAATAACAAGTGAGTTAAAACAACAACTAGTCAAACTCCTCACCAAACAACCAAAAGCCACAACTCTACTACAAACAGCGCAAGCACACCACAACTACTATACCAAATATATGATGTTTGTATTACTATGACTAAAAAGAAACAGTTTTGTAAAATATATGGTAAATAAAATATTATATGAGCTAAGTGAATTATATGAAGAATTGATTGTTTATGTAATTGATTATAAATTTATGAAAGGTAGTACATTGATCTAGGTTTGGCCTAACATTTAATACAATGTTTCTAGTCATCTATGGTTTTTTTTTTTTTTGAACAACTATGAGCTTTTAAGTTGTGGATCCATCTAGGCTGAAGCACAAATTATGTAATGTAACTCTTTTTGAAGATCCGACAAAGCATAAACGTCTCTGATCTCTCAGTTACTAGATATTCTAAAAGTTTTAACAACTATTAATTTCAACTCATCATTGTTGGTCAGCTACAGTGTTTTGTTAATTAGACTTTTATTTCCTACAATTGGTGTCTAACAACACATTCGCAGCACAACACAATACAACTTTCAAAACTTTGATTTAGAAGGTTGGATCATATGAAAATTTTAAATATGATTGATTGTGATATAATCAAACTTAACCTTATCAGAAAATCTAAACGCGTTTCTTTTATCCTGTTTAATTTTCTCATCCTCAACATTAAAAACAAGAAGAAGCCCCCTTGCCTTGGTTACAAGACATGATAAGAAAAAGAAAGAAGAAGATGTAACAGAACATTCAAGAATTGATCATAAACGAAATACTTTTTGATAAGATCGCTCATAAAATTTCTAAGAAATATATTAATATCCAACGAAAGATTGTGTCCATAGAAAAACACAATTCGTTAATATCTTTGATTCTTTATTATAAAAAAAAAAAAAAACTAGTTAGGCATCATTGAAAAGACCATTGGTTATCCTTGATAATCTCTGCTTCTTCCTCTGGTGAAAAATCATTCTCGATGCCAAACTTTTCGCGAATCTCAGCACCATCCTTGCATGATGCGATGACATCAGCAATTGTCTGGCAAGCGAGATCAAGCAGGCGAGCTACGTTTAGGTAATTCGCAGCCAAGATTAGGTCAAAGATAGTAGACTGATCCATTGATTTCATGTACTCAGCGTCCCACTTCTTCAGTTCCTCCTTCTCCTCCTCGGAGGAAGATGAATCACCTCCTTCGACCACGACGTGCTTCTTGCAGTATTCTAGCACCTTCTCGAGGATTTTGCCTGAGACGTTAGTAATCGGGATCTCACCATCGGTGCAATCATCTTCGATAAGATTTGCTATCAACTGTGATTGACGTGCGACAGCTTCTTCGACCTCGAAGGATTCACCATCAAAGCTCTTCAACACCAACGTCTTCGACATCTTTGCGTGTTGTGTTGTGAGTTTCTCTCAAAGGGTTGATTGAAGGGTTAAGGAGGTAAAGAATGAAGTTATGCGGCGACGCTTGTTTGTATTTATAGCCCTACTTTTTACATTGAACAGATTAATGGGCCACGATTTATATAAGAAACTCAATAGTAATACAATTCAATTTTGGGCCCGATCGTTTCTCCATCTTTTATCTACATCTAACTACTCCATTTAATATTTCATCCAGATGATCCATTCAAATTTTAGAGGATATATACGTTTTACCATCCAAATGAGTTATCTGAATGAGTCATTTAGATGAATTTCATGTTTGTTTCTTGTTTTCTATGTTCATTTAGATAGATTTAATGAACAAATTACAAATAAACACTTATTTTGATTTAATCATATGTTTAATATTACTTCTAACTATACTATTTAAAAACGTTGGGCGGGAAAAACGTGTTTTCTGGTTTTGACGAGAAAAAGCGTTTTTTCGGGTTTAGCGGGAAAAATGTGTTTTCGGTTTGGGCAGGAAAAACATGTTTTTGATTTTGGTGGGAAAACTTTTTTGCGGTTTTTTACGGGGAAACATTGTTTTCCGGTTTTGGTGAGAAAACGCGCTTTTCGGGTTTGACGGGAAAAACACGTTTTCAGTTTTGGCAAAATGTGTTTTTCGAGTTTTTATGGAAAAATGCATTTTCGGCTTTTTGTGGGAAAAATGGGTTTTTCGGTTTTGCGGGAAAAACATGTTTTTGGTTTTGGCGGGAAAAAAATGTTTTTCGGTTTTGGCGAGAAAAACGTATATTTCCAGTTTTATGGAAAAATGTGTTTTTCGTTTTTTCGGGGAAAACATGTTTTGGTTTCTGCGGAAAAACAATTTTTTCGGTTTTTGCGAGAAAAACATGTTTTTGGTTTTTTCAAAAAATCGCATTTTCGGTTTTGGCGGAAACACGTGTTTTCCGGTTTTGGCGGTAAAACCGCGTTTTCGTTATTTTTGCGGGAAAACGCGTTTTTCAAGTTTGGCAGAAAAACTCGTTTTCGGTTTTACGGGAAAAATATGTTTTTCGATTTTTGTTGGAAAATGCGATTTTCTCATTTTTTTTCATGAGTTACAAAATGATATTAGATTTATGTTTGTGATTTGTAAATTATATAAAGGGTATAATAGACTTTGTACAATTTTTCCAAAACCATTTCCATTCAAATGTTCCAAATTAGTCCATCCAAATGGACTTTAAAATTAAGCCTATAATTTTGAAAGTCATTCAGATGAACCATCCAGATGATTTGTACTTTTAATGTATAAATGAACAAAACTCTCATTTCCATTCAAATGACTCATTTGGATGAAGAAACACTCATTTCTATTTCATATATTAATTTTATGAAATTTCTAAAAAAAATTTGTAACTTAAATGATGGTAAATAAAATATTATATGAGATAAGGGAATTTATATGAAGAATGGATTGTTTATTTTAATTGACAATAAGTTTATGATACATTGATCTAGGTTTGTCCTAAGATATATACAATGTTTTTAATTAGCCACTAGGTGGTTTCCTGCATAATCAAAATTTTAATTTTAATTATATTTGTAAATGATTTTTTAATATTTTATTATTTTATAAGTGTATTTTAATATAATTTTTGATTTTATTAATATAAAATTAAAATAAAATAAACAATTTAATTTGTTTTGAATTATATGTAAGAATATATAAGTATATATATTTTAAAATTATAATCTTAGATTGATTTTCATTTATTTATTTGGGCTAAGAAGTACTAAATCAATTTGTATAAAATTTGGAAAATGATATAAAATTGTAAAATTTTCAAAAAAATATTAAATAGAATTTCTAAAATTTGTGGATAACAAAAGTATTCAAATGGTAATGTTTGAAAAAGATGGTATAACATTTTGACAATCTTGTTTAGTAATAAAACTAGGTGATTACCCGCGCTCATATGCGAATGAAATTTATTTACAAAAAAAAATATTTGAATACTAATTTTGATTATTGAACCATCGTTTCATAAATTCTCAAACATATGTTCATGGACTCTTAATATAAAGGTGTTGAGTATTAGGCTATATTGATAACTTTTTCTTAACCTATTTAAGTCACACTGGATTTCAATGATATCATCGGGGTGTTACCATTTACATTTTCACTTCAGTATAAAGAATTGTATTTCTGAAATGATATGATCAAATAACATTTGAGATCCACGCTTGGGCGAAAGAAATATTAATTATGTTTTGTTACCAAAAAAAAGAACATAAATTATTTATACATAGAATTATTTTTTTGTTCGTTTACGTATTATGCAATAATAAATATAATAAATAATTGAGAATTAAGTAATTATTATGTATACAATTAAATTGGAACAAGCACATAAACAAAAATAATTTTGTTGGTAAAAAAAGCAAAATAATCATTTATTTATTTTATACAGCATATAAAAATTAAATATTAGTAACATAAATATATAGTATATGTTAATAGGAATATTTATTATTGAGGTCTCGTACTTAGGTCTGGGCATTCGGATATTCAGTTCGGTTCCAGATAGGAATCATTCGGTTCCGGGTATATCGGATAAATCATTCTTATACTCAATAGGTACTAATGAGATTTTGAATTAGTTTCGGTTTGGTTCCACTTCGATTTCGGTTCGATTCCAGGTACCCGTTTAATATATAAATCAAATATATATATACAGAGTATATTAGTAAATATGTAATTTAAATGGTCTAGTGTTTACACGCTTACATATTCGTCAATCCAACAAGAGATCGAATCAGTAAAGCGTTACTTTTGTAAATATTTATCGTATTTATAATATAAGAAAATAAATAAAACATAATGTGGTTTTATAATAAAAATACACTTACTCTTTGTATCCAACCTGGGTTCAAGTGGGTTTGATGTCATTTTATTTTATAATAAAAAAAAATTAACTTGTTTTTTTGGATATTTGGGTACCGTTCGGTTCTCGGTTCGGTTCCGGTTCGGTTTTTAGGGTATAGAAATATAGGAATCATTCAGATATTTAAGAATTCTGATCCGGTTTTGGTTTCAGGTATTTTAGTTCGGTTCCGGTTCGGGTTTTCGATTCCGGTTTTTCGATTCCAATTTTTTTGCCCAGGGCTACTCGTACTCCTATGATTTTATTAACATTTTTTATATTTTCTGGAACTGTTTCTATTTTTATTAATATAAAAATTTATTAATTGATGCTTCCTACTCTATGCCAATTTCAAAATTAATATTTTTATGTATTTTATATATGATATTTATTTTATTGAAATATATATATATATATATTATTTGATTATATATATTAAATGAGACTTCATATTTATAGGATTTTATAATTGTTTGTATTTTATTATAACAAAAAAAATTAAACTCTTGATCACAAAGTTTTCATTGTGGGATTTTAATAGTCTTAGTAATTTATAGTCGTTTAAAAAATTCAGAATATAGCATATAAAAAATCTAAATTTTAATTATATGGTTAATGTGATTGTTTATTTTTTAAGAATATAAATTTAAATAAAAATGATGGAGCATCAATTGTTATCAAATATTTATTATTTAAAATCATTAGTTATCATATATATGTTAACTGTATTAGGTAATTCCGTAACTTTTATTTAAGGAAATGATATAGAATATTCTTTTGTACACTACTAATAAATTTGATAGTTAGTTTAATTAAAACAATAAGATATGTTTAGATGGACCAACCATTTTTCTAAGGATTCTAAGAATCATTATGGTGATGAAACATGTTTCTCAATTAATATATAGGGGATTGTATAATTCTAAAATAGACAAAATAATATTTTGAAATTTGTAATTTTTTATTTTTTATATTATATTACTTAGTCTATATTTTATATATTTATCTTAATGATAATATCTAAGTTATTATCATATTTAAGAAAAAATATTTAATGATAACATATAAGTTATTACCATATTTTTAAAAGTTAACCAAAACTAAAAATAATATGTAATATGATTGTCCATATCACTTTTTATCTTGAACCATGTCATATTTTTTAATATGACATGACATCAGTTTAGATGAAATTAAAGAGTTTTTAACATTGTAGGGCAGTTTACGTGTTTTTATGTCAAGAAAAGGCAGTTTCAACTACTGAGGTAGTTTATATGTGAAAAACCTTAACTTGCCCTTAAAAAAGGGTTAACTAGTGGGGTAAAATGGAGAGATAGTTTTTGGCTTTCTAGTTACACATGTATTATTTTAAAGAAAATATGAAATGTGTGGAGCCCGATGAAGTGACGTATTTGAAATCAAAAGCTTTTTCTTCAGATCTCTTTAATGTGTTTCTTGATCCTCTTTCATGACCACCAGAAAATTTCGGTCAAGCTCGATCTCTTTCACCAAAAAATTTGACACAATCGGATTCTTCGTTTCATATTCTTCAATTAATCTCCTTTGTGCCGTGACAATAACTCGTGGTGGTTGTGATATCTGAAATCCGCCGCGGCAGTCATGTTTCAGTTACAAAATGAAGCTTGAAGAACTTTGGCCAAATCTCACAAAAAAATACATTTTTTTGAAATCTAAAGTTCAAAATCAATATAAAAAAGTTCAAAATTACGATTTCAAAGTGTATTTGACAATTAAAACTTAAAAGAATGCAAGATTATGAAAAAAAATCAGTGGCGGCCGCAAAAAAAAATGATGCAGAAAACCCTAAAATTCTGAGAAAAACGAAGATATATTTACTAAAATGTCACTTATTAAAAAAATAAAAATGAAGTAAAATAAAGATATGTACACTCGTTAGTGTACATGTGTACGTTCAAGGTTGTTAGTGTACATGTGTACATTCAAGATTTCTAGTGTACATGTGTATCAAAGCTAAAATCATTAGTGTATACATAACACATAAAATAATATGTACACATATCATCATGTCCAAAATCAATTATATCTTTGATTATTTTAGTAAGTAACGACTAATCCACCTATATATGTACAACCTCTTTACATATATTGCTCCATTGTCGATGTACATGTGTACACATTACAAAGCATACACAAAATAACATGTCCATTTGTCTTAACCTTCTAATTTGTTCAAGTTTTTACGTGTCACAAAGTGTACACATGTCGTTTGTTATTCTTGCTCAAAAACAAAAAAAAATTCTTATATGTAGGTGTTTATGCATCAGTATATACGTGGACAATATTATATAGGTGAATCTTTGTATATGATAGTAAAATTTGTGTGTACACATGGACATTATAAAGTTGTACATTTTGAAATTAGCAAAATTATTCAATTAGACAGTTTGAATGTAATGTACACACGACTTTTATATTTATATGTACATAGTGTACACGTGTGAAGAGTGTACATTGTTTTAATAATAGAGAGTGTACACATGTACACATATAAGTGTACACATTTTGCTTTTTTTTAATGAGTGGCAAATTCGTAATTAAATCATCTTCTTCTTATTAGGTATCCTGCGTATCTAGAACTAAATCTCAGAGCCGCCATTGATTTTTTTCATGCATTCTTCATTTTTTTTGCGTTTTTACCTCTAGAACTTAAAAATATTGTCTAATAATACTATTAGATTTAATAACCAAGCGAAAAATAAGTTTTTTTTCATAATTTTGAAGTTTTGGCATAGTATAACCAAAACACCATAACTCTTCTTCGCCAAACATCAACCTTTCAAAAAAATATCAGTTTAATCTCTTGATTTGAACAGATCTATGAAAAAAAAAACGTGGAAGAAGAACATGATAATTATGGCACAGAAAAAACACACATATTAGTAGGAATTAGATGGATAGAAAAAAAAAAAGAAAAAAAATTTTGTTTGATGAGAGAACGTAATTTATTTCTGGAGAGAGAAAGATTATTAAAACCACTTTAGTTAGAAAGTAACTTTAATTACAATGGTTGGGTTTATGGTTACAAAAAAAACTACTTCTATAGCATAAATTGTCTTAATATGTAAATAAAACTTGGAAACTGCCCTAGAGTGTAAATGTTTCGAAATTAAATATGATGGCATATGTCAAAATCACTATACAAATAATATTTAAGTGATCTATATTGTTTTTTTCTTCTCTTTGTTGAGGTTTTAAGTTGTGGATTCACAAATCATGTAATTTAACTCTTTTTTGAAGATTTACTTAAACATATATGATCAACTAGAGATTCCAGATATTATCAACTAACCATCAGTGGTCTCATCAACATTGTTTCGTTATACTATACAGGACTTCTAAAAATTGGTGTGTAACAACCCATTCTTAGCACATCACAGTACAAATTTCACAAATTTGATTTAGAATGTTGAATTATATGAGAATCTACATATGATCGATGATTGTGTTATAATAACTAAACTTATCCTATCAGAAAATCGAACCACGTTTTGTTCTCCTGTTTAGTTTTCCCCTCCTACGTACACTAAAAAGGAATCATGCAAGCACGACTCTCTTCAGGATTAGAAGAAATGATAAGAAAAAGAAAACATGATTTAATAAAAGTTAAAAAAAAAAAAAAAACAAATCTGTCCAAGAATTATTCGGAAACGGAATGACTTTTGACAAATCGCTCATAAAATTGATAAGACGTAAATGTATAAAAGAGAATTGCAGATTCAATTTAAGAAAGAAAAAAACAATTGCAGATTCAAAGAAGCATTCAAGAATCCATTAAAGAGCAGACGAATTATACACTCTGTGATTTTGTTGATTAGTAAAGAAACAACAGTTGTGGGGTCGATTCTACAAGTGATGATGATGGGCGTTTAGGAAAAAGTTTATTGGTAAAGAAAATAGAAAGCTAAGAAAGAGAAATAAAAGGAACAATGCATGTGGTGTTTGTTATGTTCTTTGAAGACTACTTCAAAGAGGAAAGTAAGACCATGTACATTGAAGGATCATGGCCAAGGTTCACACGGTTTTTAAGAAGAAAATATATTAAAATAATGTTTTGTCCATGATCCTGTCTCTCTCCAGCTCTCCCCAGTGATCCCGTGAGGGGTGAAGTTCATCACTGTTTTGCGGGCCCCACGCCACGTGGCGGCCCGCTATTGATCAATGCAATTTTTTTTTTTTTTTTTTTTTTTTTTTTGCAAAATCAAACGAAAACAAAAAAATAATAATAAAAAATTCTAGTTATGAACCCCAATGGGGGGTTCATTAATGCACATGGTTCATAACTAGAATTTTTTTTAACCATCCTGCCGTTTCTGTTTTAATGAACCCCCCATTGGCAAAAAACTAAACTTTCCTCTTTGAAGTAGTCTTCAAAGAACATAACAAACACCACATGCATTGTTCCTTTTATTTCTCTTTCTTAGCTTTCTATTTTCTTTACCAATAAACTGCCGTTTCTGTTTTAATAAAAAAAACAAAAAACTAAAGCTGAAAAAGCCCCGAAAGTGGAAAACAGATACTTTTCACCGTTTTCAGCTTTAGTTTTTTGTTTTTTTTAACCATCCTGCCGTTTCTGTTTTCCACTTTCGGGGCTTTTTCCTTGTGTATCGTACCTTAGCTCAGAAGCCTCTCAGATCCACGTCCCTTTTGTTTTTCTTTTGGCTTTGCAACAATTTTTTAAATTCTTTTTTTTATTATTTCTTCTTATTAAATTCTTTAATCACACGTTCAACGTGTCTTTTAGTGTTAGTGAGTAGTAGCATTTTTTTTTGTAACAAGTTCTTGTACTCGTAGTGAATGCTCTTTGTTAACCGTAGTATTGTAATGTAGGTTCTGGTAACCGTTAAAAACTGTGTCAGAAACTGTCGAATTATTTTCTAATCAAAGTTTTTTAACACCGAAAGGTAGAAAGACTAGTGCAGGTTAATGACAGTCACTAACTCGTTTTATATCAGTCGAGGAAAATAATATTTTCACTTATTTATGTCGGTTGTGTTCTTTTTCCAATAAATATGAGAAAATCGAGTTACAGTGTGAGTGTGAAGTGGAAAAAAAAAATACTGGTAACAGCTATATACACACTCTGCTCTTTTCTCGTAATGCTTCTCTTATGAATAATGCAGAGCCGAGTTGAGCTCACGCGCCACCGTAACGAAAAATAACTGAACGACATGGGATGCGCGGCGTCGAAACTCGACAGCGAGGACACTGTCCGGCGGTGCAAAGATCGGCGCCGCCTGATGAAAGAAGCTGTCTACGCTCGCCATCACCTCGCCGCCGCTCACGCCGACTACTGCCGATCGCTCCGTCTAACAGGATCTGCTCTTTCCTCATTCGCCGCCGGTGAGCCTCTCTCCGTATCCGATCAAACTCCCTCAGTCTTCCTCCATCCTCCTCCTCCTAATCAACAATCTCCAGCCAATCTTGTCCCTCCACGTGTTACTCCCTCACCTCCTCCTCTTCTAAAGCTGGAGCAGGCTCCTCCTCCGATCAAGTCTAATCGACGAAGGAAGCAGCAACGGAAACCTAAGGTGCCTCATATACTCTCGGAGTCGAGTCCTTCGTCTTCTCCGATGAGTGAGAGATCAAATTTTTACCAGAACTCGACTTACTCAGCTACTCCTTCTCACGCTTCATCCGTGTGGAACTGGGAGAATTTCTACCCTCCTTCTCCTCCTGATTCCGAGTTCTTTGATAAGAAGGCTCAAGAGAGTAATCAGAAACTGAAGAAGCCAGATAATCCTTTTAGCCATCATACCGATGATACGGAGACGGAGAGGTCAGAGTATGATTTCTTCGATACGAAAGCTCAAGAGAGGAAGCAGAAGAAGCCAGATAATCCCTTTAGCCATCTCGACGATGATACGGAGACGGAGAGGTCAGAGTATGATTTCTTCAATTCGAGTAAGCAGAAGAAGAAGCAGTTTGAATCAATGAACAGTACAGTGGATGAAGAGGAGGAAGAAGAAGAGACGGAGAGAGAGGAAGTTCAGTGTAGTGAATGGGACGTTCACGATCATTACAGCACTACTAGCTCCTCTGACATCACGGAGGAGGAGAAGGAAGATGACGGCAGGGAGTCAGTCTCTGATATCGGGACACGCTCCGTTGGATCTACCATGAGAACTAGTAATTCGATGAGTCGGCATCACCAAGAACCTTCACCAATGCCGCAAGAACACGGCGTTGGAAAAGGGAGGTATGACGACAAGGTTGATGATGCGACGGTGTATTCCGGTAGCTATAGAGGAGGGGGAGAGATGGAGATGGTTGTTAGGCATAGAGATTTGAAGGATATTGCCGATGCGCTCAAGGAGAATTTCGACAAGGCTGCTGCGGCGGGTGATCAAGTGTCTCAGATGCTTGAGCTTGGAAGAGCTCAGCTTGATCGGAGTTTCGGACAGTTGAAGAGTGAGTTTTAAGAGTTCTGTTTTTTTTTTGGTAAAGTTGAGTTCTTTTCACAAAGTTTTGGTTTGGTTTTTGTTTATTTTTAGAAACTGTGATTCATTCGAGTAGCTTACTAAGCAGCTTGAGCTCGACATGGACCTCGAAGCCGCCGTTGGCTGTTAAGTACAGGCTAGACACGACGGCTTTGGATCAACCAAACAGTCTCAAGAGTCTATGTTCCACTCTTGACCGTCTCTTGGCATGGGAGAAGAAGTTGTATGAAGAAATCAAGGTCTAAGTCAAGCCTACTTGTGATGAATTTTTACTAATTAACAGTTGGTAAACTGATGAATTTTTGTATTACAGGCTAGAGAAGGTGTGAAGATTGAGCATGAGAAGAAGTTATCACAACTTCAAAGCCAAGAGTATAAAGGGGAGGATGAAGCGAAGCTAGACAAGACAAAGGCCTCTATAACGAGGTTACAGTCACTCATCATTGTTACATCTCAAGCTGTTACTACCACTTCTACAGCTATAATCCGTCTTCGTGATACCGACCTTGTTCCTCAACTTGTTGAACTATGTCATGGGTAAGCGTCCTCTCTTCTTGATACTGTTATTCAGTGATCCAAAAGTTTTCTTGAATTTGACATTTTTAGGCAAGGAATCATTACTACCCCCATTTGGTTTCTTAAAGTCAGTGTTGCATTCACCTCCACCTACTTTCCATATCTTTCAGAGAATCTTGTGGGCTCAATAAGTAGGTGAACAGTTATTAGGCCATGCTTTTTAGAATTATGTGGTCCTTGATAATGATATGCTCCATTACCTCTCTTATCTAATGCTATACTTTAGTTTTTAGCTCTTTTGGTATAGTTTTATAGTTATTCTGTCAAAGTAACTAGTAAGCTGAGACACTTTAATCTCTGTGTTTTTATTCACCTGATGCAGCTTTATGTACATGTGGAAAGCTATGCATCAATACCACGAGACTCAGAACAGCATCGTAGAGCAAGTTCGAGGGCTCATTAACAGATCAAACAAAGGCGAGTCTACCTCTGAGCTACATCGACAAGCTACACGTGACTTAGAATCAGCTGTCTCTTCTTGGCACTCCAGTTTTAGTCATGTGATCAAATTCCAGCGTGACTTCATACACTCGGTTCACTCATGGTTCAAACTAACCCTTCTTCCGGTTTGCCACGAAGACGCTGCAGCCAATCATCACAAAGAGCCAACTGATGCTTATGCCTTCTGCGATGAGTGGAAACTCGCTCTTGACCGTGTTCCCGACACAGTAGCATCCGAAGCAATCAAAAGCTTTATCAACGTGGTGCATGTGATAACCGCGAAACAAGCAGATGAACACAAGATAAAGAAAAGAACAGAGTCAGCATCAAAAGAGCTGGAGAAGAAAGCTTCCTCGCTTAGAAACCTAGAGAGGAAATACTACCAGTCATACTCAATGGTCGGTGTCGGTATACCAGATTCAGGACCCGACCAACACATGTTGGACTCTAGAGACCCGCTAAGCGATAAGAAATCAGAGCTTGAGGCTTGCAGAAGGAGAGTAGAGGAAGAGATGGTGAAGCATACGAAGGCAATAGAAGTGACAAGGGCCATGACTCTGAATAACTTGCAGACAGGGTTGCCTGGTGTGTTCCAAGCGTTGACAAGTTTCTCTGCTTTGTTCATGGAGTCTCTTCAAACGGTGTGCACTCGCTCATACTCAATCAAATAGGAGACATTATATTATATTAATGTATACATAGTAATTCTTATAATTTTGAAGTACTTCTACTACCAAGAATTGGTTCTTTTGTAAGAGAAGGGTAATAATAATCTATGTTGTGATTGACCAAAAAAAAAAAATAATAATAAAAAAATAAAATAATCTATGTTGTGATTGTCTCTACTTAATTTAAACTCCCAAGTGGGTTGGTGTGGGGGTCCCTCTCCATCGGATTCTTCCGAATCTGACAACTCTTCACTTCTTGTCTGAAAGTGAAACCACATGATTTGGTTTTGTAACCGAATCTTCTCTCTGGAATCGTCTTGTGTGCCCCTTGCAATACCCAATAGGCAGTCTCTCTCCCATGCCATTATGGTCCTCTAGTGATCTTTACACAACACTTCGTATTTCAATATTGTCATTACAAAACATGTTATTGCCTGATGTTATCAGAGTGGTTTCTTTGTCCATACTGAGTGACATCATTCCCAACAAAAACATGTGCACACAGGTCAGGCTGAAAGGTGACAGCTAGAAGGGTGAGAATATGAAGGCCAGTTTAGCAGCAATGGTATCAAGATCTTCCCTGAGCTGCGGATCTTCTGGTCCTTTAATCGACCAATGTTCCAGTCTGACATTTATGTCGTTTAGTAATAGATCTCCATCTTCTTCACAGTGAAGTTGAATCATGCGGTCTATGCATTTAACCAAATACTTGCTGGACCTCAGCTTAAAGTTGTTAATAAACTCTTGTGCGTCCTCTTCAGCTTCAAAGCTTGATACACACATACTCTCCAACGTGTCGGTTAAGTTGAAAACAAGGCGTGTGCCTTCAATAGCCTCCTCCTTGGTTATTTCATTACACAGCAACATGGATGTTTTAGAGCTTCCCTTTACTTGTCTGGAACCATTACTCCGCAACTTCTTGATGGCTAGAAGTTTCCCAGTTGCAGCATAGTGCAGTACCAGTTCATACTCATCATCTGTTAATGCATATGGAGAGCCAACCAGTACCCCAACCACCACTCTTCTTACCAACATATTATTTTGGAGGTTTGAGCTGGAAGATGTATGCGTTTTATGAGAATCTAGTACACAAGAAAACGAATTGGTGATCTCATTGTGAAATTCTCTGACCAGGTCATCCACAATACTGGAAGCTGGTTTCTTTCTCTTGCCAGTTATAGTCTCACTACGATGTTCTTCTGACTGGCAGCTTTTTTCGATACAGATCTCTGAGACTCTGATGAGAGACTTAGCTAGTGATTCTTGAATGGTTCCACTCGCAGGGTTCAGAATCCAAGCAATGTATGTTGCCGCAGAAACGGAGAGACCTTCCACATCACATGGTTGTATACTGTTACTTGGTTGTATACTGTTACTCACTTGTGAGGCGTATCTATGGTGAATATATTCTAACGAACTTCCTCCAGAGAAGAGCATAGCAGAAGCAAAATAAAACCAGCCTGGGAAGTTAATAGCCAAAGCCCTGCAACAAGACACAACATCATACAAAAATCAAACACACGCAACAACGTCATCAATTTGCATTTTCATGTTAAGTTACCATTCAGTTTTGTCATCTAATGCTTGGACATTTAATGGAGTAGGTTTGCAATTAGCACCATTTCGTTGTCGCTCAGGAACAGCAGATAATTTGCTGACAGTATGAGCTAACATTACTAGGGAGTTGGAGGTAAGAGGACCAGCCAAGATTTTCAGAAAACGACACTGGTAAGGAAAGTATGCATCAGAGAATGGCAACATGGCAGCAAGTTCCATAGGTATACCCCACAACGTTGGTCTTGAAATTGTTTCCACTATTGCAGAAACCAAAGCGGCAAGTAATTCAAAGACAGAAGCAAGTCCACTGTTGTTAAGAATGAAACTGCATCAGAAAGCAATAAAGACAGAACGCTAGAGATGACACAGCATAAAGGTTCCATGACATCGAATTGGATAGGAACTCACGTAAGCAAAAACCACTTATGTAAGAGAGCTCTGGCGTTGATGAACATAGAAGGAGAAAGTGCTAAGCAGACGACAATCTCGCGCCAATCAGCTCTCTCGAAGAGCTCCTTCTTTAGACAAAGGAAAGGCCTCTCCGCCACATCTTTCAAGATTCTGGAAACGTCTTCCTTCAAAGACAATGGATCTTGATACCAGAACAGGATCCTGATCATCAAAAAGTGTCAGACCGGTCTACCATTTTTTTCTGAAACAAACAAGAGAGCAAACATCACAGAATGCATGGCTTCAGTTTCACAAACTCTACAGACTCTTTATGACAAATAGTATCAAGACTAACATAACTAAAGATAGAACCAGTGCAAGAGGTCAAACCTCAGAGGTATCTCGTGGTTCTCTATAGATGATTCTCTTGGTAAGTAAGCAAGAAGTTTAGACACACCCATATTCCTTCCACCATCTAACTTTCTAGCTCTGCATGATGTTGAAGCTGCTGATCTCACAACAGCTTGGAACAATAGTGTAGCCAGTCTTCCTACAAACAGTTCCAAGTAAGAAACAAAGGAAACAAAAAAAAAAAAATCTTAAGATAAAAAGCTAAAATCAAACCCACCATTTGCCCCCAACTTATCAATAATGTCCTTAGAGATTTCTATCAGTTCTTCAGAACACTGAGGTAAAAACGAGATCCCAAACTGTAAGGTTTCCTCGTTGTGATACCTAATCCCCTTACAACTGCTTGAAGATGATAAGACGGAGACAATAGTCTTCACCAAATACTCAATCGCCGAATCAAAAACCTGCGAGACACACCGCACAAGTAAAGAAACACTAGAACAAACAAAGTAAAGATAGAGACTTTAAGAGGCAATGTACTAACCTGAGGTGCCTTGAAGCACATTAGAGATAACACCGCTTCCAAAACCCTAACCCCAGGATTATCGCCGTTGGTGTCCAGAGTTAGTGATCGGTTAAGCTCCGAGATAGCTCGTCCCATAGATGAAGAAGACTCGTTTAGTTCTTCTTCGCGGACTGGATTTCCGTTCTGAAGCCGGTATGAAAGGGCGGCTAAGAGGTCAGCGACGGCAGACGGAGAGGACATCGGACAAATGAGAAGAGTCGCCGGCGATTACAGTTAGATGGGATCACTACAAGACCGGTTAAGCTTTATGTTGGTAGTAGTTACTAATTAGTAATTTCCCCCACTCAGATCATATAACCGTTGAGCAATTTGGTATGGCTCATTAATAAGCAAAAAGCCCGAGCCCAGTTAATAATCAAGCTTTATCTTGTGACAACATAATAGTCTCTCCACTTCATAGGGCTGCTGGTGTAACTGCAGTCGATGCGGATGATTACAATTTTAAATATTAAAAAGAGATGTGGATGACTAGTACAATATTTAAAAATTGTTATGTTTACGGAATACTTATGATTGGTTAACTACCAAATGTAATAATGAGTAAATAATAAATTAACAAGATTTAAATTTTATATAATTATTAAAATACTAAAATCATATTTTATAGTAAATATAAAAATTATATTGATTAAATTATACTATTATAGAATTATAGAACATATTTTTGTTTTGACATTTTATAATATAAATTAAAATATGAAATACATATATATATTGGTATTTCTAGTATTTTAATTTTAATTGAAATTTTATTTTTAAATTTATATTTTTGAAAAAAAATTATCTTTTCGTAACTATTCGCAACCGTCAACGCTATCTATAACTAACTTTTGAATTTTAGAGATTTAAACCAATTTAAAACGGTTTATAATGTTTCTTTGATTATTGTAAAACGCCAACGATCGCTAACTGTAAAAATTGTATTTGTGGGTGAGAGCAAAAAAAAACCAGTCAAGTCCATAATGATGAACTTTCTACCTCTTTCTTGTTGATTCATAGAGAAATTTTAAATATTTTATTAACTAAAAAATGAGTCTATTCCCACATGTTTTATTGACAATCTTTACAATTTTAGATTGGTATTATTTAATTTCGTAAATTTATATACTTTTTAACTGAACTCTAATTGTTTTTAATGTGTGACAATTCCTTTAAAAAAATTATCTTTGTAAAACAGAGGAATTATATTATTTTCTTTTGTCATTGTGGTCTGTTTTTGAGTCTGAGTTTGATCTCTTTTCCCTCTCTCTCGAGATATATAAATAGTACAATGAGTCTTGTCAACTTCTCTGCACCCACTGCTTCGTAGGTTTTCTTGGATCTTGAGGATTCTGCTTCCTTCTGTTGACATTATTACTATGTGCCCGGCCTCCTCGGCCTCTGCCTCTCCCTCTCCTGTTGTTGGAGCTGCTAGAGTTTGTCTCTGATTCACCTTCTTTGTGTTCCACTTGTTGTCGTTGTTCTTGAGCTTCTTCTTGGTTTGAAGAAGATGATGCAGGAGCTGGTGGAGGAAGATACATACCGGGGACAACCGATATGTTTTTCTTTGGTTGAACCAGACCACCCTTCTCTTCCTGCGTCTTTAGAATAGCCTCAAACCGTTCTCTTCTGATCTTCTCTGAATTTGACTGGAGTAGTGGGTCTTCTTCCTCACCTTGTATTAAACCAGAATCCTGTTCGGTCACAAAGTATGAAAGCTAGAATCAACGCACAGACAGAAACAACTGATCAGAAGTGAATGGGTTACTTACCTGTTGAGATGACTGAGCACCGACTAAGCCGAGAACATGTTCAATATCACTTGCATGAACAACTTTGCGGCACACTGGACAGTTTCCAAAGCTTTTATCTGTTGATCCAAGACTACCTACTTGGTCACTTGTTCCTCTACACAGACGTAAAGTATCACCATTCTCTGAATCAGCTTCTTTCTCTGTGTGAAGCCAATTCCACCACCTAATGATGCACTCACTGTTCACTTGAAATCAATAAACAACTATTAGACAATGAAATAATAATAATCTTGTAACAGAGGTCAACGATTCATTACCAGTGGAAACAATGAAAGCAAGACATGAGCTTCATAAAGGGCATTTGATTACTCTGACCGTCCTCAGGGAATAAAGGATACAGACACAGTGGACAGTCACCATCCGGATGATTCATAATCGTGAGCCTCTCAATTGCTTCCTACAAACATACATATGTCTGTTATACTAAATGAGATTAAAATCTTAGATATATCTAAGCACATCGTTTAATCTGCATATGCTTTTTTTTTTACTTACGCTACATCTAGTATCTACTAATCTTTAACTATCTCTCAACAAGACAATGAATTTAAATACATTTGCTGTATGATGGTGCAAGGATGGAGAACTGAGTATATAGAGCTCTTCTCACCTCACAAAGTGCAACTAGCATTAGAGAGGAAGATAGTTCAGAAGCTTTCTCTTGCACAAAACCAATCAAAAGCTTTTGCCTTTGCTCATCAAGACCCTTGGATTCAATCAGGCTAATCTCTGGCGGTTCATCTGGATACTGTAACAACAGAAAAAGGAAGATTCTTTCGGCTCAGTAAGACAGTCAATGATTCTCTAGAACACTTGAAACCAAATATACCTTAGGACCAGCTTGTATTCTTACAACCGCTTCCACAAACTGCAAAGCAAAACAACGGTGAGCATTACCACAATAATGTCATCAAATAACATTAAGAGATTACCAAAAAAAAAACAATAATAATAATCAGAGGCTCAACAAACGATTTGTTCCTTGCTACATTAAAAATCAAGACTTTTGCATCTACTTCAGCTTTCAAGCTTTTGTATGATCGACGCAATACACCAACAAATCCAAAAACCCTAATTAGACAATCTTCAATGCCTAAAGTTTCGGTTTTTTGAGAATGAAACCTGCTGAGAAGAGATCTCGGCGGTACGGGGCTTGATGTGGAGGTGAAGATGAGGAGGATATGAATCCACTATCACCACTTCTTCTTCGTATACTGCTTCTACCGCTTCCATCTCCATCGCTACCTCTTCCTCTGTCATTTTTTTTTTGGTCCGCACGACAGCGAAGAGACGGCGAAGAAGAGGCAGCAAAGAGATGTCCGAAGCTAGACCTTTTCCGACCGTAATTATTCCTTCTCAGCACTTAGTTATTCATTTATTTATAGAGTAAAATTTTCTATTTCGTTTAACCGACCCGCATATTATATCCATTCTTCTGAATTCGTCCAAATTTAACCTTTTCGCTAATTCAACTTATCGCAACTGAGATTTCGCATATCATCACAATTTTACTGAATCCACATTCAAATTAGGACACATCATTATCATCAGTACATATATACATTGAGGTGATGATTGTTTTAGTAGTTTTTAGTTTTAGATTTTAGTTTTTTTGATTTTAGATTTTGGTTTTTGATTTTCCAGGTTTTTGTTTTAAATTTTCAGCTTTTTGGTTTTTGGTTTTTGATTTTTGATTTTTGGTTTTTGGCTTTTCTGTATTTTTTAATTTATTCAAAAAATTAATACATTACTTTAAATTATACAATAAAATATCAATAACATATTTTGATAATTATTTAAAAATAAAACAGTAAAAATATATTATAGTAAAATATATATAACTGTGAAAAATGAAAAATATTTAAAAATTTGAACCTATATAGAAAATTTTCTGATAGAAATTGTTTTTAATTTTAAATATTTAATGGTAATATTTTCTTTAATATTATTATTTTCTGTGTGTTTATTAATTATTAAATTTTGATTGGATGAAAAATGAATTTTCAAAAGAGAAAAATTTATAATATAAAAATATGTAAAAATTGTATCTTTACAATTGAAATGTTCTAAAATTTACATATTTTTGACAAATAAAATATTTTTGAAAAATATAAATAATGAATATATAAGAATACATTTACTTTAGAACATATACACATAATGCTGGTTGATACAAGTTATATTAATATTAGCAAAAGCTAAGAAAATATATTTAAGGAACTACGTGATCTTTTACAAAACTGAAAATACATGAATTTTTGTTTTTCACTTAAAAATTGATATAGCATATAAAAACTTTTTTCCTAGTTTATAGAAAAACGTTTTTGCTAAAATCTTGATTGGCTGTAGAAAGAGTTTTTGTTTCCCTCATTTTTAGAGAATCAATTTTTTAAGAATTTTGATTACCTGTAAAATGGTTTTTGAAAAACAAAAACCAAAAACTAGTGTAAAATCTACCAAACAATCAACCTCTCATTATTTTGTAAATACATTCATTACTATCGTTTATTTAGCATTGATCATATTATATACACATAAATGATTACTCCATATCCATAATCTCTAAAGCCTTTTTGGAAAGAAAAAAAACATCTTTCTGTTTATAAAATCCAGATACCTTTGAAAATTGGGTACTTTTGTTCAGTTTAAAACTATACGGTGATTAACTAAATATAAAGGTATTTCTCCGCTATAAACGTAAATAAAAAAGGATTCACGACATAAATAAAACTATAACGGAGTGAAGTTTAACGGCGAACCTGCCGACTGAACCGAGCGGATAAGGCGGAGCCGTACTAACAGAACTCGGCGCAAAAATAATTATCACCGCTGATTTTCTGTATTCTGTAAGTAATTCGATCGGATGCTGCAAATTTACCTTCTTTTCTATGAACTGACACCAACTTCAGACACTGTTTTTTTTCTTCAGACACTGTTCTTCTTGACTGTATCAATGAATCTTTGCTTTACATTCAAGAAACTTTTTTAATAGATTTTTGTACCATTTATCTCGTTTTATCAAGAGAAACATGAGCATCATTTGAAATTATAAGAAATAATTATACTTTTTATGTAATATATAAACAAAGTACATTTCACTTGCATACAATCTTACTTATGTTCTTCTGTTCTGTAATAACTCTAGTGGTTTCATAACACAACACTAATTTAATACATTTTGGCAACTTACTTGGGTTTCACGTATTCCAACACGAGGAATTGCAGTCACTGACACCAATTTTCAGAACTTGTTCTTCTTGACTGTTTCAATGAATCTTTGCTTTGTGAGATCGTTTCTTGATATATACTCAAGAAAATCATTAAAGCTGAAATCTCCATAAGCAGCTTGTTTGTCTTCATTCACGAGCTTAGGTGCTGGACTTATCTTCTTGTTCATAGGCAAGCTGTGAAGACTAGCAAAAGAGATGCGATTAACTTCTTTGTTCACTGTTACTCGATGAACCACGCTCTTGTATATGCCATTGCTCATCACTTCTACTTGATCTCCCAGCTGCACTATCAAAGCTCCTTCGATGTACGGCACACAGATCCAGTTGTTGTTTCTGTCCTTTATCTGAAGCCCTTGGCTGCTCTGGAGTAAGATGGTCAGTGAGCTAAAGTCTGAGTGTGGTGGCATCCCCAAGGCTATCTCTGGCTCTGGACACGCTGGATAGCAGTTCACTGCCATGACTTGTGACCCTTCTTCGATTTCTTCTTGTAAGTAACGTTTCTCTAGTCCTAGACTTTCTGAGATAGCTTCCATTAGCTGGTTATGTAGCACATGCGTTGCTTCTGCGTATTTCCCCACTGATTCCCTGGAAAAAAAAGGATAGACCACATCAGTTCTGAGTCCTAGATAGTGTTAACAATGGTTGTTTAATATTCATATAGTGAAGCTAGCCTGAATAGGTTTACTTACTTGTAGCATGGAGGGTTTGATGGCCACAGATCTATCCATTTTGAGAGAGGATGGGAGTAATGTTTGATGAAGTCTCTCCAGTAATGAACTCTGTCTGTTGCATGGTTTATGCTGGTGCCATATCTTACTGGCGTACGAACATCATCAGAAACCATAAGCATTTTCTCATCGGCCGGTAAGTCAAAGAACCTTTTAGCTGAATCTAACGCATCTTCACTGAAGATGATATTCCATGGTTTGTAACCTGTTGAGAAGAAATTTTTGGATCAGAGCTATGTACTGTGAATAAGAGGGGTAGAAATGATACTAGTGTAGTCAATAGTGAGCTTTAATGAAACAGAACAGCATGCATGACATTTGCATAAAGAATAAAGATAAGCATCTTCACATGCTACTTGTTTTTATTCTCAATAAAGACAGAAACTAAGGACTTTGTCTTTTTACATTTTATATCTTTTTGAGTTGAGTGGTAGATTTTATAAGGACATTCCATACTAGTCCTAGCTAGTGACCCTAGAAATGAAACACATGGCTTAAATCTAATGAACTGAGAAATGTAGACACATGGATATGACACTTAAGCAAACTTATCTTTGTTTGGATTGTAACAGTTCACTAATCTGACTTACATAACTTGTTGTCACGTGTCTTACCTAACAATACATGTGTAGTTTATGTAACTGAAAACTAGACTATATATTACCTGAAAGAAACCAAATCCCTTGCAGGCCATTTCAATCTCATGGATGACACTGTGTCTACGCAAAGGATCGTGTAAAAGGGAGAGATCAATGACAGGAAGATCAATGCTACCGGCGCCAATGCTTGGACTGAGAACTGGTCGTTGAGAAAGAGGAAGAATGTAACGGGTTGGCACATGAGGGACACCTGACTCTGTAAGTGCCATAGCACTGGTAAAGCAATCACCAAGCACATTCTTTTTTGTCTCCTCCATTGCTTTTTACAAGAATCTGTTTTGGTACTTTAGGATCTCACCTTGTCTTCCTACTTATAGTAAGCAAGCATGCAAAGCGTGTTTCTTATATACACATGAAGATAACCTGGCTTGTTTTTAAAAAGGTCTTTTTTTCTTCTTTTCTATTTGAAAACGGTTTTGGAAACTACCGGCTTGTGTTCATATACATAAACATTAAATGAATGGTTAGATACTTCATTCAAATAAAGAATTATCACTTGCTTTTTAGAGTTGCCACATCAGAGCTTGAAAGGTACCTGTGAAAGGTGTATGACTAGTTGCATGTTTTGCTTTTTAGATTAAACTATATTATATGAAAAGAGTCGTCATGTAACGGGTTCTTCCTTTCTAATTTTTAAAGGAGAAACCATAAATATCTCATATTTTGTGCCTATACGTCATCAGGAAGGTTCAATATTGGTATAGGTTCATGGAGATCATTACTACTATTTGTGAACTGTGTTCTCTTTTCTAATGAGTAATGGGTTTTTGGATTTATATGAAGGTGAACTTGGGCTTATCTGTATTTGGCTCAGATCAATTAGGTAGGTGATTTCACTTTGGATGAATGAAAAAAGTGATGATTTGTTTTCTTGTGCATCAGGGAACAAAGAAGATAAAGAGAGAAAGTGGTGAGATTCAATGGAAGGAGAAAGTTGGAAATGCTACAAGAAAAATATAAAATAATAAGTGCCTACAAGTTGGAGACTGATACAACTTGGTGGCTCCAATTCCAAATCTGCATAGTAATGTCTTAAAACCACGACTTAAAACCTTCACTTGTTGTTACATTCTGAAGCGCGTTGACTTTTGACTTATGTCGGCATTGGGCCTGAACCCGAACTTTAAGTTAATGGGGTAGGCTAAACATAAGAGACTCATTGGCAAGACTTTTCGTTAAATGCATAGAGAATCGAAGAAACTATAAAGTTCTTTTTTGATAAAAAGAAAACTATAAAGTTGTTGTTACTAGGGATCGTCCACTCCGCGCTTGCACAAAATTACTACCGTTGATGTTGTGTTATTTTTATCCATGAAAGAGTGACTCATGTGTTGGAGAAGTTCTTTTTGAGACTATGAAATGAATTAGACTATTTATTGATTCATAAAAGTTTGTGGTCAGATTTTGTAAATAAATGTTTGTTGATATAGAGATGGATCGTTTTATGTTTTATGTTTTATTTGTTTTATTAGACTTGGGTATATACGTGTATATTATGATATTTAAATGTTGTTTTAACCGTAGTCTATGACTATTTAGTTTGTTTGCATTTGTTTTCATCTAAACATCGAAAATTCTTTTTTAAAGAGAAAAGGAAACAAAATCAAGAGCTTTATGCTCTCAGTTCGAGTGCATGGCTACAAAGCAGAGATTTATGTAATGTTTACATGAGTTATGTTTATTTAGGTATGCATGTCACCATTTAACGTGTAGTGATTGGTGCATTTAGTTGTGGACATTATCAATATGCAAAGTGAAGCCAACATTGCCTTTTTAGAATAAAAACTTAGTAAATCTCCTCTTCATAGGAGGAAGTTTTCCGGAAATTAAAAAGAAAAAACAAAGTTAAAAATCATATATATAATGGATTCAAAATCATAACAATTCTGAAAATACAGAACATACAAGTTGAAGCTATCATTCAAACGTGCATTAGTGGCTATTCTCTTCTGTTTCAAAATCGGTAGGATTTGGTTTATCATCTCTTGCTAACCAGTGTTGCTGGCAGATACAACTGCTTCTTTACCTTCGTTTGTCACTTGTGTGAGAATGTAAATTGCAGACCTAATAACACAGAAGAAGATATTCTCGAAGAAGGCGTCTCGCTTTTGGCAAATATATGGAAGAATAGAGGGTGTCGGTGGATGTGGATTGGACTCACAAACCTTTTTTATTTATTTACAGAGTTTGAATTGTTCTTCTGATTTTAAAACAAATAAAGTTTGGATCGTAAATAAAAGGAGACGGAGAGTCGTGGGAGTGAACATGTTTAATGAGAAACATATTCATTAAGCATATGAAATCAAAACGTTGAAATATGGCAAGCAAGAGATGTAGATGAAGAGACAGGGGAGGTAGAAAATGAAGGGGAATATCTGGTATTTCTCAAACAATAGAGGATACATTGAAGTTCAATAGTCGACCGAAGAGTTCAATAACAGAAGAGACGCCTCATGACCTAAACCTAAACGCAAAGTTTTGTTATCTTTGGCTAAGTGCTTTAGAATGAGCTTCTAAATATAAATTACAAACTCACACCAATCCACACATAATTATACCAAATCAAAACACATTGATAACGTGTTTGACTGGATAGAATAACATGCGGATCCTACATGAGTCTTGAAACTCAGCCATTATAACATAGTCCCCGCAAAAACGCGGTTTCAGAGATATTATTGATGTATTCTATAATTTATTATATCTTTTGATGTTTAACATATAAGCTGGACCGATATAGCGTGTGAATTTCTTTTGTATTAGTCAATAAAGTTTTCAAAAGTTTTATATATCCGCAAATATTATCCAGTCTTGTTAAATGTCACAGGTTCTTCTCAATATTCTCTAATTCTTATAAATTCGCCATTTTTATATTCTGAGAATCCCATAAACGGAGGCGACAAAAAACCATAAAATGAACAGTTCGACCAAAGTAAAGAGAACCAAAAGTTGAGACGCCTGCAATGACTTTAGCAACCAAAGCAAAAGATGAAATTATTTTCGAGAAGATGTGATAATGTTTGACCTGGAAACAAGAATTAATGAGAGAATCAGAGATGAATGGTTTCTCCGTTTAGATATAATATATATTAAGCGTAATGCGAAGGTATTATGAACATGGTTCATTATTACTTAACAAAGTAAATTGGTACTATTATGCAATCTTATTAAATGCCAATGTTCTTCTCTTTCTCATAAATTAGCCATTTTTATGTTTTGAGAATCCCACAAACGGAGGCGACCAAGATAGAAAAAATAATAAATTAACATTCTCTCTCACTTTTGTGGTGAATAATTTTAAGAAAATCATTAACAGAGTTATCCAATATCAAATGATTTTAATAAAATATTAAATTTTATGAACTTTCAATTCAAAACTAACTGAAGTTTCATCCGTGCAACCGTGACCGTGAAGTTTATCCGCGCAACCGTGACCATGAAGATATCTTTTCAAATTTTAATATATTCACTAGATTTTGAGGGCGGTATATATTTTGTTTTATATTTTTTTAAAAATTAAATTTTATATTTCTATTTTTTGTAATAATATTTTTCTGTAATCATATTTCGGTAAAATATATATTAAATAATTAGTAAGAAATTTTGATAATTATATTGAGTTTGTGATGCTATATATAACTATACACTTGGGTTGTAGTCATAAAACTCGTAACTATTAGAGTTGAAAGGACGGATATATTATTGTTTTTAATTTTTTTTACTAATTCAAAAAGTTTAATTTATATATATATATATATATTTGATATTAATTAAATTTAGTATAATTTTTGCAAACTATTATTGAATATCTCAAATTGTTCTCCCTAATCATTGTTCTGCAATTATTTATTAGGTTAATTGATGATCTTAAAATCGTAATTAAGAGAAAAAAATCAAAATTGATCAATTTGTATAACCCTTTTTAATAGAGGAAAATATAGTGACGATGTGCTTCGATGAAGATTTGAAGATTGCAATTGATTTTCTGGTATAACAATGTAATCAATAATTGAGTCACCCCTGTAAGAAGAAAGGTAACTACTTTTATGTTATACAAAATTAATTGTAGTTAGAGTTAGTAGATAATAAAATACATTTATGAAATAATCAATTTTTAAAAAGTAGGTTCAATGGCAATTTAGATTTTGACCCGTCATCTAAAAGAGTGGATATATTTTTTGTTTTAATTTTGTTTTTTTTTTAAAGTTAATTTTAATATTTTGGTTTTTTTTGTAGCTATATTTGTGTTAAATATAAAAATTAAATTTCTAAAAATAAAATTAAAACAAAAATTTAAAAATGAAGTTTCTAAGAAAAAAATATATCCGTCATAACCTAATGACCAAGAAATATGTCCAGATTATGATAAAAATATTAGTTAAACTACTTACCATATATATAGTTCATTTCCATTATTTTTTGTAGTGAAAATAATATTAATGAAAGTATAGTATCAAAATTATTGTTTCCAAACGACAATTTGGACTTCGCTTACGTTTTGTAACTAAGAGTAATTGACTTTTTTATATATATATATATATATTGAAAGTAGTGGGTTCCTATTATTTTGAAAAAAAAGTAACATTAAAAAATATGCATACATCTTAAAAAGTTATTTTTTAGTTACGGTTATAAAATTTTATTTTAAAGATTTTTGTTGGACACATCATGTATCAACCGGTCATGATCTAGAATTCAAAGTATTGATTTTATAATTTATTATATTATTTAAACACGTTGATATTTTAAGAATATATAACATGATTGTGTGATTATGTTATATAATTATGTTTCATATCTTCTATTTTTAATAACATTCTTAAATGTTTTATAGTTTTAAAGAAAATCTAATCTCAAACACACATTATCTTGGTAAAAACGATTTTAACATAATCTCGTACATGTTTTTTATATGGAACTAAATTATATGTGAGAAACGACTTTTATTTTTAATCAAATCAGTTTATTTTTATTATCTTTGAGATGGTTCAGTTAGTTTGTTTTAAATAGGAAGGTTATGTGATCTGTAATGTCTATTGAAATATTACAAAGGAAATATTGCTACCATCGATGGTTTATATGTAAGGAAATACAATTACAAATACATCTCTCAACTGTTTGATATCATCAGTGTCACAAGTCTTGTTAGATACGTTGTGATTCAGAAATAAATATACATAGAATCATCATCAAAGATGCATATGTGAATGGGAGAAGCATCACAAACCAGATAGATCTTAGCAAGAAAAATAGTTTCTTGTTATTAATCTTATATGAACAATTGATATTAAAATGAGACCAATGGTATATTTTGTGTTAAATGTTATAGTTTAGTGTTAATAGAAGATGACTAAGAGCAATCCCTTGATCCTTAAGTGGAATCCTTAATGATTTTTAATATTTTAAATGTGCTTAAATGGATTTAAGAATTCTAATTAAGAAAATTCAATTTTGAGTGATTCAATAGAAGTTTCTTAATTAGAGGTCCTTAGGTTTTATTATTAGAAAAATACATGATATCTAATTTATTAATTTAGAGTCATATTTTTATCTAATATTAAAAAATTATAGTAGGACCATTTAATTAATTATATAACATAATATATTTAAGTATTTACATTAATCAATGAAATATATAACATTTTTCTTTTTTTTGAGCAAATATATATAACATTTCTAGATAATCTTAATAACCAATAAAGATAGCAGTAATAAATCAATCTAACTATAAATTTATCATTAGTTATAAAAATAAAAACCTGTTAAGAAAATATCTAACAAAATCCTACCGAAAATTTTAAATATTATTATAGGATAATAAATTAATTAATTTCGTAATTAGTACTATACTATTATAAATTAATGTTAATTCAATGTTATTATAAACATAAAAAATAAAAATCCCAAGCTGTTTTTATAAATTTTATTTATTGTATATATTATATTAACATAAAATTATTATGTGAATACGAAAAAGTTGGTAAACTAACCTATTTTATTTTAAAAATCATTTAAATAAATTACCATTCACTATTAAAACGTGTTAAATTTTGTAAACTATGTAATATTTTTGTAAAAATTAAAATTATTAACATCTGTCAAACTTTTATATTTACAACTATATCTTAGAAATCATATTTGAACTTTTATATTTACAATTATATATCTTCGATATTTCAAAGAAGATTCTATATCTGATTATTTCACATTATTAATTATTGTATCGAATTCAAAGCGTAAGAACAATTAATGAAAAACTAAAATGTATAAATAAAGTCATTATATAGTGTAATAAGAAATTTAAACAATAAAATTAGATATTTACATAATAGTATATCTAATCTATTAAAACAGAAGTACATTTTGTACTTAAACCTTAGTTTTCCACTTTTCCTTAATAGTTATCAAAGAATGCCACTACCATTAAACTTAACGTTTCGACATTTAAGTTTTCGTGATTATCAAACCGTAAAACCAAATAATCCAAATAAAAACTAGATGATACCACTTTCCTACATAGTACATATCATTGGCCACCGAAATAAATTGGTTCGTGACCTCGACTCATCTTCGTCTGTCTACTGGATCAAATGAGTACAATATTGATAGAAATATAACAAACGAGATAGATAACGTTTATCAATTTTGACAAGTAAAGTTTTCCAAGTACAGTTTCTCTGAAATGAAATTATCAAACAATAACGAATGACTGAGCTATTTAATTTTTTTATTTTTGTTTTGAACTTTAGGTTGAGCGAATTGCACATGGGTAGTTCGTCATTTTACGACGACAACATTTGAAAAGAAGAAAGAATTGGTAAATATATAAAATCAATGAATATAAACAAGTTGGTAATCGATCATCTAAGCACGACTTTATCAAATGTGATCCCTTTTGTAACTATATATCTATGAGTACTCGCCACCGTCCTCCTCATTCCTCAACTCCGTCTTTCTCTTTACATCTATCCTTGCATTATTCGCCTCAATGGGATCAACCACTGCGAGCGTTCTCCTCCTTCTCCTCCTAACCGGAGCCCCTGCAGTCTTGGCCTTGACTTTTCAGGTTGGTGATGTTGCTGGCTGGGCCAGTGGTGTCGATTACACGACTTGGGTCACTGGAAAGACTTTCCGGGTCGGTGACACTCTAGGTATATATATTTAGATTTTCATTCCTCAATCACAATAAATTACTTGATTCACAAGAAACCTATTTTAAACCTAATAAGCAATTATTTTGCTGTTGTATGATAAGAACAAAACTAATTTTATCCTTTTAACATTACCCCTATTAGAGATTAAATTAATTCCTGAAATATTATTTATTTCAAATTATAAAAAAGCTTTATAAAAAGATACCTTAATAAAAAAGAAAATGTTTAAACAATATAAAAGAAAAACTTTAAAACCAATGAAGTTCAACCGTTGTCATGTTTTATTGTATAGAGTTCAAGTACGGTCCTTCGCACTCGGTGTCCGTGGTGAATAAAGCTGGCTTCGATGGCTGCGACAGTAGCCGAGCGACGCAGAGTTTCTCCGGAGGAGACACTAAGATCGATCTTACAACAGTTGGAACTATACACTTCATTTGCCCTACTCCTGGTCACTGCCTCGGTGGCATGAAACTCGCCGTTCCTGTCCTTGCCGCCGCTCCATCTCCGGCCACTCCTTCACCAAAATCTCCACCGCTTGCCCCTCGCTCTCCGCGTAAACCTAAAACTCAACCTCCATCGGCTTCTCCACCGGCCAATGGCTCACCGTCAGAGTCCCCCGCCCCTTCGCCATTCTCGATGTCTACAACGACGTCCCCGTCACCGTCAAACGCAGCGTTGAAGGGAGTTATGGTGAGCTATGGAGTGATGGGCCTCACCATGTTATTGATGTATTGTGCTATGAACTAAATTACGGAGTGGAGACAGAGGAGGTTTGTTTGCTCAAATATTTTTTTGGTCTCGATCTTTGTAACTACTACTACGTTATCACCTGCTCTTGTTTGTAATAAATTATGTTCTTTCAACATTTTTTCCTTCTTGATATTTTCATTTGTAATTGGTCATGGTCGTAGCGCTGGTTCATTATAATCATGTTCTACATGATTATTGAGTAAATTGAGATGTCATGTATTTTTTTGATTAAGGAAACACAAGTTGACATGTATATCTAAGCCAAATTAGCGCGTAAAAGATGGGTTCGAGTCATCTAAAAACCAAGTCGTATAAAGAACAAAGACGTAGTCTAAAATTTACCCGTTGTAAACTATAATCTAATCATCGCAACTCAACTTGTTATTGTAAATGGACTGAAGGAATTCTATTTCAAATAGCTACATAACTATTGTAAACAACACATCCGGTTCACTGTTTTTAACCAATATTATAACCAAATGATTATTAGCCCAAAAACGAACGAACCAGACAACGCTTTTACAAGTTAGACAAAACTAATCCCATACGGAACAAAGAAATAACAACTCAATGTCCCAAATTTCATGTAGCCATCACTTAACTAAGATAAATGAAATTCCAGAAGTGTAGATAGAGACCATGTCTTCTTTGTTGCTTGTTTTAGAGTTTCTTGAGGTGTTAGATCTTTCTACTTACACAGTAGTCTTGCTATTTATTGACTGAGAAGGCTGTATGATGGCATATCTTCAACACCTGTTATGTCTTCCACCATTATCTCTCTCTCCAGCTGCCGTCTCGTTGATTTCATTACCATCTGTGTTTTTATTCACATATTAACACAATTGCGCTTAATCATTTGTTGATCATACCATGTTTAGGCCAAGACAAAGCATCAAAACCAGCCAAATATGCGACAGAACAATGCCTCATGTTACTAGGAAACTTCTAGTGACATTTAGAAAAGATTACAGAAAATGCTTACGTTAAATTCCATGTATGAAGCACGCATGGAGAGCCATTGCTGATCCATTAGCTTGAACGCAATGCAAAAAAGAATGTCAAATGCAGATTCATTCACTGCAAACAACAACAAAAGTCCAGGGATACAACACTACTTAGTAATCTAACTTGTGACAGACAAATGACTTCTAAATCAGCAATGTCTGGTAATTATTACCAGAAAGGAATCTCAAAAATGTTTCGCCAACAATACTTCGTGGTTTCACTGTAAAATTGAAAGGTGTTTATTGTTAGTATGTAAAGCTATGATGCTGTTACTGAGCCTGAGTTATATCTCCATATAGGGTACTTCACATATGCACCAAAGGAAATGCTCAATTAGTAGTTCAGAAGTAGGAGTGCTTATACTATTTTAGCTAGTTGCCTCAAGATTTTTGCCTAGTGCACGTAAGAGCATGATCATAACAGAATATCTATGCAGTAAGTAATGTTTCTGTACCTGCTTCAAGGCCAAGCATCTGGATAAGCATGAACGTGATATTGATGCCAGCAACAGCAAACGGGTATTCCCACACAGAACGATCCCCAACCTGCTTCCGCAGAAGGTCCTGAAAGGATTTCTGCAGGAAACAGAAGTGACAGAACCTAAATGTCATTTTCGTGATAGAAGTAGCATGTTATGATAGTAACAAACAAAAACATCTATATATACGGTGTCACTGGAACTGAAAATTGAAAGAAAATACAGTGATTAGAATTATCTGCAACTCTTTATAAAGGCGTACCGGGAATCTCTTAGCGAAATACAACAAGTTTTCAAGAGATATGAAACCACCACCCCTGCCAGATGCTCTAGAATCAGTCAAGAGAAGTGGATAAATCAAATGATAATGACAATGAGATGAGAAGAGAAGAGAGATAACCTAAAATCTGTTGATGGATCTTTCCCCTGCCAACCCATTTCCTTCCACTGCTCAGATACAATTCCTTGTAGCTCTTGTTCAGGAAAGGCAAGTTTCCAAAGATCCTTAAGAGCTTCCTACAACGCATATGAAGTAGCAACCAATATTGACGTAACAAAGCTCGCAGGCAGAAAAAACTAAACCACTGGAAAACTTGAGACGGTAACCATCTATTTGATGTGCATGAAATTAATTTTGAATAGTCTTTACAAAACAGGGGCGAATCTAGATAACTTTTCCACTAGGTGCAAAACTGATTAAAAAAAATGCAAAGTGAAGCATTGAACTTTGAGATCGTAGAGGTTGCACTCTGCCTACGCCCCTACTTATAAACACAATCCTTTGAAGTAAAACGTACTTGATGCAGAGGGATTGAGGTGTCATACGCAACATCAATGCGGCTCTGCAACCTCCGCAAGCATTCTTCCTGCCAGCATCAACAACAAGGGTAGAAATTATGAGCTAATTGAATAGAGTAGTTAGTAAATAGTATAACAAGAGAAGAGAGGAAAGGTGAAGACCTGAGCAGGTGTAAGATCAAAGGAAAGACGAGAGTGGCCATCTCTTCCCTGAACACAAACACAAGAAAGGCCACGCCCTAACCATGCTGCCGATCCAGCAACAACCTCAGCTACATATACACAAATAACAGTTATCGTGAAAGTGAGCTTTTAAAATTAATAAAAAGCATCGTAATGATTTGATTTACAAGATGATGAAGAGTGATAAACGCTTCCACGTTCCAGACCTTGTGATATCCTCCTCACCGCAACGAACGATTCTCCTCCTCTATCATCCATCTCTCTCTCTTCTTCTTCAATCAAATGCATAAACACCAAAACAAATACACAATCAGAAAGTAACAATACAGTAATCGAATCGAAATACAACTCTTGTAATCTGATCAACAATGACGCAATGCGAACGAACAACACAGAGAGAGAGGTGAGGATATTGTGATTACCGCCGGGAACGAGCAAATCGGCGTCCGATCGGAGTTTCGGTGGCGGTTGAGCGTAATCAATAGAGATTCTGACGTTTCTCAAGTTTCAGTTTATTTAGTTCATTTTGAAAATAGCGCGTGTGGCTCAATCGCTGACGAAACTTCGTAACGGAAAACAAATGAATGACGGTCACTGCGTATTTAAGTAGGAGGACGTCGTCAACGACAAATCTTCTACTAATTGATTTTATTTATTTATTTCACTTTAAATCTCTATATAGTTTAAGCATCTTATTTATTACTGGTTATTATGATTAGCAAAATATTGGTTATCTAACACTTTCCGTTTGCATTGCCAGACAATATTTTAAATGATTAAATTAGATAAGACATACGTAATCAAATCTAATCAAAAATCACTTTCAATCTAATTAGTTTTTTTTTTTTTTTTTTTTTTATAACAAAGGCAACTGCAATCTGCAAAACAGCTAGGTTTGTTTCTTTAAATAACCCAAATGTTCGAGTCTAAACTCTAAACCAGATATTTTATTTTTGTAACGTCAACTTTTATTCATTTTGTGATTGCCTCGTAGTAGTGTAATAATGTTGTCTTAATCATATGTAGGTGCGATTTTGGTCTCGTGGGACGACAATTTCATGAGGCGTGGGCCAATACTATGGCCGGTATGGTTGAGCTACGGCCGACCCGCGTGTACATCTCCTTTTCCCTTTTGATCGTGTGATTAGACATTCAATTATTAACGTTTAATGCAAAAAGACTTATTAAATTAAACTAAACTTTACTCAAATATTATAAAACTCGGGAATTGGTCAATGTCAGTGTAACGAGGCATGACTACTTTTGTCCGGCAAAGACTCCGTTTTGAAAAAGCTGTTCCTAGATCCTAAAATTATGTTTAAATACAATGAAAACACTTCAGTTTATTATTAATCAATTAGAATGATGGTATAGTATAACGCAAACGTGTATCACAAACAACTAATTTGGTACCCATAAACTAATCGTAGATCGTTTTTAAAAAGCAAAGCTTCGGCTGTCGATAGTTTGCAAAGTAACGATTTGCTTAGAAAATAAAATAAAATACGTTTCGGTAGTTTGGACTATTTTTGTTAGCAACGCATACTTGGATATTATAAGTTTGTGCAAAGTCGTCCACCACGCCACCACAAGCTCAAGTGTCTTCTTCAGGTTCTGGAACATGATTATAACTCTAGTCTCTAGCTATTGTATAAAAGCTCATATCGTATTCTTCATGTCCGATTCCTTGATTATTTTATATTTTTTTCAACCCTTGATTCATTTTTTTTAATGCTGCATTTTTATTTGTTTTTTTTACTACTTTACTTGATGTTTACGCGATATTTAGTATCCATGACCTTTGTCTGGTCTAGCTACCATTGACCAAAGCCTCTTCCAGCATATTTATTACTCTAATGGATCCAAGAGACCGGTTTATCCTTTTCCCCTGCGTAAGTTAAGACAATCTATGTTGATATTGCATAGACACTTATTTTATATCTTAGCTTTTGCCTTTAAATGATTTTGTGCAGATGTTGCTGGAGCATACTTTGGAACCCACATTCCCTCACTTGTTCCTGATGACTTATGGGAACTTGAAGCCGAAGAGACCGGCTCAGAAGTATGTCACAAGAATCTTCGGCTTTAAGGTAAACAAACCATGATGAGACTAGTGCTCTGTATTCTCAAGTGGTGATACTTTAAGTGGCTCCGGCCTGTGAGCAAATGAAACGATGACTGGGGTTTGAATGGAGCATACAATCAACCCATTGGGTAAAGGATTAAAATGAAGTTGGACACTGGGATCTCAGAAAGAACCTCTTATGAAGTCTCCAAAAATGTGAATCGTAACAGCATGGTTCGTTGGTGGAAGAAGACAGACAATGAGACAATCTACTTCGAAATATATTTGCCCAGTTGGTTGGATTTTTGAATTTACTGTTGAAATTTAGAAATTGTTGCGTCCCAGCTTATTAATTATTTTTCTAATTTATGTAAACCTCCAAGAATTTGTTCAGTTTCAAACCAAGGTTAACTGAATCGGTAGCAGCCTCTGTAATTAACATTTCGTGTACTGGTTAAAACAAATCCAAAAAAAAACTCGAAGATTGATTTGCTAAATGTAAAAGAGTCATGAAACAAAAACATGGGAAGAGTATTGCAAAACATGATCGTCAAAACAAAGCCAGAATACTGATAGTGCATAAGACGATTTAACCCTCAATTTGCTCCCTCAGCCTCCTGATTGTGCTTCTGACTGTGACAGCACTGGCGGTGTTCATGGTGTAAGCACCACCAGCCTTGACCTTGCCACAATCCTTGCATCCCCAGATTCCGACAGCCTTTCGCTTCACTCCGTACTTGCCGCAGAACTCACAGAAGTACTTGCTGTGCTGGCTGACCTCCATCTTCTTGATCTGCTTCCTGATACTCGCTCCATAACGAGTTCCTGTGTAATCATACAATCATTGATATGTTAATATACTTCACAAAACATGATACATCCCCAATAAATCAAACCAAAAGAGCTAATCCGTTATATATTTTTATCTTAGAACGAGATGTAAATGGTCTCGTAAATAAATGTTGATAACTAACACTAATTTCCTATCAAGTGTTCCACGATTCATTCATTCCTTTAAAATTCGAATTCTATCGTTGATTCTCGACAACTTAATCATCCTAGACAACACCAAATGACGAGCTAACATAAGACGAAACTGAGAGAAGAGAAGCCTTACCGTACTTGCCGACGATTCCAACCTTCTTCGTTCTCTTCGCCTGTAGAAAATTCAGAAACAAAAAGAAAGAGTGAGCGATTGAGTCGGAAGGAACTTAGATCTCAACCAGAATACTAAAGAAGAACAACAATAACGGAATGAGAGTAGAGGTGTTCACCATTTCCAAGCTCTTCTGAAGACGAGCACCACCGCCGAATATGAGAAACCCTAGAGAGAACAGCACGCTGCAACTCACTTCTTAAACCGTCTTTTTATACCAAGATTATTAGGGCATTTACTGTCATATGGGCCTCATCTAGATTATAAGCCCATACAATATGGGCCATTCACATCAATTTCAACTCTACAGGCCTAATAAGAAACTTATATGCTTACGTGGATCAGCAATTTTTTCTCCGTTAACACTAGGCCTAGGAAAAAAAACCGGAACCAAAGAACCGAACCGAAATCGAACCAAAATATCTGAAACCGAAATCGAATCGGGATCCTCAAATATCCGAACGGTTCTTATATTTATATATCCAAAATAATCGAACCGGAACCGAACCGAGAACCGAACGGATACTCGAATATATAATAATATTAATTTTATATATATATAACATAACTAAATATATAATTTTAATTTAAATTTTTATTAAAAGTATCCAAAAATAGTTGAAGATAACTAAATAATTATAGAGTATCCGAACTACGAATAATTTTATCCGAAATATCCAAAATTTGTATCTAAATTGTTCTAATTATTTGATATTTTATCTTAAATAACCGATAATTTATCTAAATTACTCGAACTCGAACCGGAACCAAATGAGAACCGAATTTTCCAGGTGTTTTTTGGTTCCTAGTTTTACTATCCAAACCGAACCGAACCCGAAACTATCTGAACCGAACCGAACCGAAAATAGATCAAGTAGTAAATAAATCCTCTAACTCCTTACCCGAACTACCCAAAACCTGAAATATCCGAACTGAACCGAACCGATACCCAAAACGCCCAGGCCTAGTTAACACTCTCCATTAACGGGTGACGATAAAAACATATTATTACTGGCACGTAAAAGTAAAAGTAAAAAAAAGTAGAGAGTAAGGGGTGATGACGTGGAACAATGTCTCTGAGCGCGTATCTAACAACCCTAGACCTAAACGCACCCAACCTTCTCCCCCAAAGACCTCCCTCCGTCCAAGTAGTATCCGAATCTCTGTTCTTTCTTTCTCTACTTTGTATCTTCCACTTCACATATGGTGAGTCCTCTCTTCTTCTTCTTCTTTTCTCATGATCCGTTAATTCGTTTACCTTATCATGTGAATGATGTTAAGTGATTAATTATTTCTGAGCTTTATTGACTTCACAAGTAGGCGATAGCTACTTCCCTCGTTTGCCTTTTTGTGTTTCTGTAGTCTTTTTGGTTGAATTTCTATATGATTTTACCTTCAGTTGTCAGAGTTTCAACTCTAATTTCATTAGTTATGTACTTTAATAGCTCCGATTCGAAGTTAGTTGTTTCATGTTTTGTTCTATTAGGAGTTGATTAGGAAGATAATGGTCATGGAGATTGTGGAAAGACAATCGTTACCTAACAAAATATATGTCTTTTTAAGAATTATAATGCTCAATTATTTAATCTGTGATAGTTGCAGTGGACGAAAGAATCTTCTCAAGCTAGTAGTAACCATCAAATGGATGATGGTGGGCATTGTGATAATGGTCGACATAAAGCACCTCAGGGACATGTATCTTGGTCAATGTTTTTTTTATCAAGCTGCTTTAATACCTTAGCTTTGAGATAGTTTTTGTTTCTTTTTAATGGGAATGTATCATTGTTTTTCATGATTACAAACAGTGGATGATGCAGCAGCAGCATCAGCCATCGATGAAACAAGTCATGTCAATAATAGCAGAGCGTGACGCAACGATCCAGAAGAGGAATCTTGCTATATCAGAGAGAAAATCAGCTGTAGCTGAAAGAGACATGGCGTTTCTGCAGCGAGACACGACCATCGCTGAGCGAAACAACGCCATAATGGAGAGAGACAATGCTCTTACAGCGTTACAATACCGTGAGAACTCCCTGGCTTCTGCTTCTTGTGCTGGTGCAGTTGCTAATATGGCTTTATGTCCACGTGGTGTAAATCACATACACCATCCGCACATGCATCATCAGCAACATCACATGCTTCAGTTGAGTGATACTCCTTATGAGACCAGAGAAATGGAGCTAAATGATGCTCTCCCAACATCACAGTTAGCCTTGGAATCTGCCAAACCAAAACGTGGTAAACGGGTGAAAGACCCAAAGGTGACAACAAAGACCACTGCTAATAAGAGAGGGCCAAAAGGCCCAAGGAAGGTTAAGAAAGAGAACGAAGACGACTTAACCAAGATAATGTTTGTAAAGACAGCCCTTGACTACGGAGAAGAAGAAGAAGCAACGGGATCGAAACCGGATTGGAGAAACCAAGAGATGGTAGGGCTTAACCAGGTTGTGTATAACGAGACAACAATGCCACCACCTGTATGTTCATGTACATGAGTTCTCAAACAATGCTACAAGTGGGGAAACGGAGGTTGGCAATCATCGTGTTGCACAAACACACTATCAATGCATCCATTACCAGCACTGCCCAACAAAAAACATGCCAGAGTTGGTGGTCGGAAAATGAGCGGAAGCGCATTCAACAAGCTTCTAAGTAGGCTTGCCGCGGAAGGGCATCGTGATCTCTCAAACTCTGTTGATCTTAAGGACCATTGGGCGAAGCACGGTACAAACCGTTATATAACGATCAAATGATGTGTGTATTTAGGTATGAGTTGTTCTTACGACACTACCTCTGGTTTTAAATTATATGTACTAAACTTAAGAGGAAAAGAATTGTATGTGGAGCCAATGTATGTTGTATTTATGTATTAGGGGAAATAACCTTAGCAGCACTTTCTTTAATCTAAGATGATGTTAAAATACTCAGATGTTCATCTCGCTACTATCTAGTATCTACTTTACTTTTAATCATTGTCATCATTATTATCTCCCCAGAGCCTATGGTATGATGATTTTGTGTTATATGGTAGATAAAATGTATGAGCTAACCAACAGCTTTGCTGGAGTGATGATGTTGCATTACTGAAGCTTAACACATCTAAGTAAAACTCAAAATGGATACACTGAGCATCACTAGTTATTATAACGATATGACATGAATATTTCATTATTTTGGAAGGTTTTGCTATATATAATAAATAAAATAGAGAAACTTTTTTTTTTCAACAAATTAGTTTGTTGAAGCACTTGTAAAGAGAGACAGAAAAACAGAACCGTCAAAAGATGATTCCATACATTTAATTTCTCTAATATCTCATACCGGTTAGGTGCATCTCATACCTCATACCTGAGCTACGGCGAATCTCAACAAAAGCTTCTTCTCCTGCTTCTGACTTTATTGTCTCTGAAACACTCCCAAGAACATCACCTCCTGATCCAAACTCCATCAGACTTTCTGGTTCTTCTACTATCCAAACATCCTGGAGCCTATTAATATCAATTGCAACCGTATCCTGATTTATTTTCCTTTTTAACAACTAAGTTAAAAATTATTTCAACATTTTCTTTCTTTTTAAAAATATTTGATTATCTATTTTAACTAACTAGATGTTTTGCCCGTATTTGCGGACATAATTCTCTAATGAATATTTATTATTTGATGTTTTATTAATTTAAAAATCAGCATAATAAGTTACTGTTGATGTATTCAAAAACTACCAACCAAACATCAAAAAATTATCAATGACAAAACTCAAACATCAGCAATATTTAAAAGAATATATTTCTATAATTATTTTACTATATTTATATTTAATTATAATATTTATACAAATATTTTACTTAATTTATATTTAACTATAAATGTTTATATCTTAATTTTAAATTTATAATATAAAAACATATTTTCAAGATAACAATATAATGCATAAGTTAATTAATTTCTAAAAAATATAATATGATAATTTGTTTTTAATTGTATAACAATTATATAAGATTATAGAAATTATGACATAATTAAAGTTACCTAAAATCATGGAGAACTTAATGAATCAACAAATTCACTTCTTAAATAATTTTTCTTGAGTGATGATTTATATTTAATTAATAATAGATAATTTTTATATTTTACTTTTAAATTATATAATATAAAAATATATTTTCAAGATAACAACATAATACATAAGAATTACCTTATTTTTTAAAAGTATAATATTATTAGTGTAAATTTATTTCAATTATAGAGTTACTACAATTTTTTCAATCTTAATTTTAAATTTCTAATTGAAAAATATATTTCCAAGACAGCAACTTAATACATAAGAAGTATATTATTTTCTAAAAAACTGATACTATCAATACAATTTTTTAAAAATATATAATAAATTATATATAAAATTATAGAAATTATGATAAAATTATAAAAATGATCTAAAATCATGGAAAATATGTCTAATCAGCAAACATCAAATTTACTTCTTAAATAATAGTATAAATTTTTACATGTTATTTTTAAATTTTTATAATTGAAAAATATATTTTTAAGATAATATCATAATACATAAGAATTAAATTATCTTCTAAAATATCATATTATTAATATAAATTAGTTTTAATTATATAATAAATAATAAACAAACTTAGAGAAATTCTGACAAATTATCAAAATTACTAAGATCAGGGAGACAAATCAACAAATTCACTTTTCAAATAATTGTTTTGATGATTTATATATAATTATTAATAATATAATTTTATATCTTAATTTTAAGTTTTATAATCCAAAAATATAGTTACAACATAATACATAAGAATTATCTTATAAAATATATTTGAAGATAACAACATAATTCAAAAGAATTATCTTATTTTCTAAAAATATGATATATCCATATAAATATTAAAAACTAGGGGTTTATCCGCGCTACGCGCGGAATGTGTTGTGTAAGTTTATGGTAAACAATTTTCTTATATAGAAATGTTAATATGGTAAAATATATAGACGATTGGCTAATGACGTAAATGCTTTTGTTAATAACTATCTTGCTAGTTAAACTCAAATAGTGGTTATGGAGATGTGAGATAATGTTTTGGGGATGTGCTTTCCCCTTTCAAGCGGATCAGTTATTGTTTTTATGTGTTGTTGTATTGTTGATATTTGCAAATGTATAATAGCTGTGGTAGTGGATTGTATGAGATTATTATGGAAGTTATAGATATATATATATATATATATGATTAGCTGATCCCAAGAGCCAGAAATCTTTGTGACGTAGTTCGTGGTGATCAAGTAACCTCTGTTGTTACTTTTCTTCATTAAGGCAATAGCCATACACTCGGGAGTTATGAATACAATACTCAACCACTCCTACCATTCCTCCCTTCGTTAGCAACTTCCAAATCACACGCTACTTTGAAGTGTATTTTCTCTGACCTAAAACCAAAACTCATGCTCCTTGTTTCTTTGCTTCTTCCACTATCATCTTCCTTTTTTCCTCTGCGGTTTCAACAAACACTATCTCCGTCTTCACCTGAAAATAAGGAAAAAACACTTATGTGAAAGGGAGCTTTGAATCGAATCAGTTTCTCTGATTTGTAATTAAATGATTACATTAGGTTTATTAAGCTGACAAAAATTCTTCAATGAACTTTTTCATGAGCCCTTTAGTTTCTCTTTCTTTGTGTCTCATCTGTAGCTATTTAACATAATAATTATGTAGTTAACATAGATTAAGCAATATCAAGCGTGCAACCCCACGCCTGTCCAGTCCTATTATCTTCTAGGTTGTGGCTTGCGTTCAGTCTTAAATAGTATAGGGCTGAGTCAACTACAAAATTTTGAAGTCAAGTAAAAAGACAATAAAAAAAAGGTAAAACGAAATTAGGCATGTGGTGTTCACTAATTGACACATCTAACTCAACTATTAAAAAATTCCTTTCGTATTTATATAAATATTTTTGATCATTTTCGGATGAATTAAAAAACACACAAAAATATCCCAGCTTTTAACAATAAATTGGCTTTGCTATATATCAAACGTCACAAAGATTCCCAAAATTAAATCACCATATCTGTCTCCCTCAGAAGCACACAATCCATTCATCTAGGTGTTTGATCTTTCAGATTAACAAATTAGCAACACACACACACTAAAACTTACTCTTGCATCAACACTCAAAGGTTTAAGCTTTTTATCGGCTGAGACTAAAGTAACAAAAAGAATAATATTCATTTAAAATTTGACAAAGAAAACCCCAATAGTGAAGATATTGGACGAACCATGCTAATAAATAAAGAAAAAAACTTAACCTTTATATGTATGATAAATTAGTGTTCCATATCAACATTCTCAACAAATTTTCTCCAGCAATTTTACTGCCATGTGGTTAGCAGCAGCTTTGTATCACTTTGCCTACAATTAAAGTACTGAAGCTTAGTGGTAGTTAAAGGTTCCAATGCTGTAAATGAAGCTAGCAATAAGAGTGTCCATTCCTGAACAAAGGCCAGCAACATGTGGTTCCTTTCTATTTACAATAACATATCGAACAAGAATCAAACAAAAGAGACGATCAACTAAACGATGAAGGATTCCATACCCAACAGAAACCATGAGCACAGATGAAGGCAGTCTCTACACGCAGTCAAAAACACCAAGGATGAAAACTTTATAAAGCCTACGATTTTACAGCTGCTTCTCAATTTCACGTCGAATAAACTCAGCTCATAAATCCCTCTCTCTCTGAGGAGGTGTTGGAAAGTGATCGATAGGTCGACCCTTATTGATCCTTGGAACAGCGTAGATTGTCTCCCATTAAAAACAATCAAACATTAGAAAATGAATCTATTCCAGTGAGTGAAATAAACAATAGATTCAGTAACTCCTAGAGCCCGTTTAAGAGAATGTAAAGTTACGAAGTTATATAGACAACAGATTCAGTGGAGTCGAATTACCTTTCCATCTACCAGAACCATATCGATCCCCATAAGCTCTACATCTTCTTGACATTCCTAGCTTCCCAGAAACAGAGGAGACCAATACCCCGACAGTCTCCTTACATCTGCTAGCCTTCAACTCAAACAGAAGAATTTGAGGATTCACCATATTAGAATAGTGTGATAATAACATAAGATATCGAGAAAAAAAGATGAGCAATGGCTTCTCCTTTGCGTCTCATATAAGTAGTGTATGAGAGAGTTGAGGAGCGCATAGAAGCTGGAAGGATGAGGATTTCGTTTGTTTATATGATTGAATGCCATCATTTACATTTAATCGTGGATGAATGGAGGATCGGAGTAATTTGTTGGTTTCAGAAAGGTAATGGGAGGAAGGAAAGCTGAGGCGGTAGAGACGAGAAGTAACAGTGGGTTCTGTTTAATGGGCTCACGATTAGTATTTTGTAATGGGCCAGTGAAATACTAAATTCAACTTCAGTGAACAAATTTGAGAAACAGCGATATAGAAAGAAAAAAAAAGAAGTACACGTGTTTTAATTCCCCCCAAGGAGAGGAAAAAAGCTAATTTTATTATTAAAGATATTATAAGTAAACAAAATTACTTACACTTATGGAGAAAATGACAACTAATCAAACTTACTTCTCAAATAATAGTATAGATGTCAATTTTACTTGAGAGCATTTAGGAGTTTCACGGACCCAGCAAATTCAAATCTCATGGACCCTCTCTTACATTTAAACGATTGGGTTATTAGCAACTTAAAAAAGTT